AGTGAGTTTGAACGACACTTTTACCCCCCTCGCACCCCCTTTTCCACCGAACATAGCCGGAGGTGTGTGAAATATTATTGCGACATTTATCTCTGGGGACACGGAGCAGGTATTTTCCTACGAGCCAAGATTCCAGGGACGTACAATTTCCTGATCGGTGTCCCGGAATTTCCCCAATTTTCCTGCAATGTTCGATTAACTTTCTGGCCAACGATCAGCTTCTCCCTTCTTACAGAATATTAAGCGATTGACGGTAACAAATGACGATTTAATACGTGTTCCAGGGTAGAAATGAATAGTTTCATTATAATCAGTTCGATTCACTGTATGTTTCAATGAGGAATCAGCCATTTTGTACGGAGAATATCCACGAAACGTTTGTAGTCATCTTAGGTAAACTTTCAGCTTCAAACTGATAGGGCCTAAATGTCATTAGGCGATACCTTTCTGACAATCAAATCGTGTCAGACTTCACAGATTCACCTCGTATGAAATTCACCCCTAATCGGTCCAGCCAATCATCGGGTATCCAAGGAACACGAGCAGGCTCTAAATTTCTCCAATCCCCCAAACAAAGAATCGGACAAGTTAACCATACCAACCCCTCGCTTTCCAATCGTCCACCCTTAAAAGTGTCTTCTTTCTTAAAGGGAACAACGGTTCATTATCGAAAAATTGATCTGATTAGACGACGGTACTTCCATCAAAACTTTTCACCGGACATCCCTCTCGATTCCCACGTCTCGCGAGAATCCGTCTCGCGGAATTAAGGGTGCGCTTGAACTCTTCACCTGCGCCCACCCCTCGACGACTAAACTTTCCGCCCCGAAACACGCCGCGTTAATTGGCGCAGTTTAAAAGTATTGCGAATTTTAGTGAAATTTTGAGATAAAGTTCGGCAAACTTACAAGATCGGGAGATACAGAGGGGTGCTTTCAAAGACTTACTCTTTTCACACGGGGTACACGCTACTCGGACAAATATTTCGAGACAAGTATTATAACGATTACGAGCGAAAAGAGGGTGAAGAATTTTTTAGCGGTCCAGGATCGAAATTATATTGTGGCAGCGACGTGCGTTTGACAAGAGACGACGAAAACCGCTCGGTATTTCCGTAATATCGCGAACCGTACTCGCGTCAAAGAGCACGCGTACGATAACGATTAATTTCATTAGTAACGAAGTAATTAGTTCGAGCGACAGCGTGTGCCTGTATCCTGAAATATTTTTAACAGCAGAGACACTGACATGTCCCTGATACGTTTCCTAACGCACCATCGGAAGTAGAGAAATCTCGCCGAATTTCCGTACACCCTCTCATCAACCGAATGTATTCATTTTCTCCTTTTTTTAATTACCCACAAGATAAACGAACGAAAAAATGCAGAAAACGCTTGATACGATAAAATACTGTCTAGAAATGTAGTTTTGAAGATGATTGACATTGTTCCAGATTAAATTTCAACTTCTCCGCACAGTCAAACGTTCCATGATCGATATTTAATTTATTCTTCCAACCTTTCCGAATAAAAATCCATTTTTTTTTATTTCATTACAAACTTTCGAAACGTGTAACGCCAAGCATTTCACTGCTCCCGTTACCTTCCACCCCTCCTGAAACCCCGGAATCGCAAGTTTTCTCTACAAGTCCAATCAACTCCGGGAAACTTGACAAAAAAAAGAGCCGCAGAGTGCAAGTTGTATGCAGAAAAACCTAAAGTCGAGCATGGTACAAATTTTCTCCATCCCCCAAGTCGCCTAGGAAAATCAGAGCGGCGAATAAAAGGAAGAATTTCTCTCTCCGATTCCGATGATAGCCCTTCTACCTCGAACTACAGTGAAATAAATAAAAAAAGAAAGAAAAAAAACAAGCCTAAAATACACGTATACAGAGGGAGAGAGAGAGAGAAAAAAAAATAGGAAACACGAGGGGGTTGAGGGATGGGATCGATTGGCGTCGAAGCGAACCAAGTCGAACGAAAAACGTCGAAGGCATGGTCGAAGTAGCAACGAGGCAAGGTAATCTCGCTACTCTTCGGCCGCTCATTCAAATCCTACGCTAAATTTCAATCTGATGTGTACAAAAGTCGAGCCCTTCCGTCCCTGCCAACCACCCCCGCGCGCCATCCCCGATTCGGTTCCTCGTCACATAACGGAACGACTCGTGCTCGAGGCAACGGTCCATTTCTACGATCCTATCCCCAACCCACCCACCCCCCCTCTCTTCCACCCTCTTTTTGCACCCGTTCGCCTACGTACATCCCCGATGCACACGTGTGCACCAGTCCATTTGAATCTAGCCACTCGAACGCGCGCTGGTACACTGCGAACCAAAAGTTTCGCCTCGTGCCACTCGAAAGAGGGTGAGAGATAGGATGAGATATTTTTTTGGGGGAGGGACGATGACGATCGGATAAGGATGTTTGGACGGTTCGTGGCTGGGTTCTTTGCGGGTGAATTGAAAGTTTGGGGTGAGCGTTGGAGAGGGTGATGGTTAATTGGGGGAGAAATTAGGGAATTGGGGTGGCGAAGTGGTGTGCTGTCTCAATCTTGGGTTAACCGAGGTTTTTATAGTCATGGGTGCATTCGAGGAATGAGAGAATTTGTTGAAATTTGAAAGTTAACACTTTTTCACCCTCTTCTATGAAACGTTTGCTGGTATATATTTATCTTTTAGTCATTTCCAACCTTCGGAAATGACAAAATTCGATTCTAAATGACATGAGGAGAATTAAGACGAGACCGAGCCATCATTGGAATAACTTTTGCCCGCTGATGTATGTATGCCAGAGAGAGAGAGAGAGAGAGAGAGTCAGAAAACCACCCCCTTGCCAGCGGAGTCCTTTTGAGCCAACCACCCCCTTCCGACGTCGTATCCATAGCTCGAACGTCCATTTCCCTCGATAGAGTCCCGGCAATCCGTGGTGTATCGGTTCGTGTATACACACGGCCGTCGCGGCGCACAGCGTCGAGGCAGGCGCAGCTAATTAAACTTCGCCAGCCACGACGGAGAGTACGTTAGACTTTCATTCGTTCGGCTTTCTTGCTTCTCGGAATCGAACTCGCCGGCTTGCAGGCTTCTTTACGCGAATTACACCGGGGAGGGTGGATTTTTGAGCCCCGTTATATACCGTTCGACTGATTTTATTCGCCCACCCTCTCCCAACCCCTCCAAGACTTTCTATCGGAACGAGACGAGAATGCCGGGGAAAAATGAAAGTTCGAATTCGTTCGGAATAGATTCTCGAATGGGATGACTACGTACTTTGACTGCTGCTGGAATGATTCATTCGAATCTTTTTTGGGGGGTGAGAAAGTGTATGATTATTGAAGACGCGTGTACAAATATGTTTCTTAGGAATCGAACGAGTTTAATAATATTTTATAAATAATTCGTTAGATATGTTTCTTTTTGTAAGGGTGAATGATACACGAAAGATGAGATATAATTTCGTTTCAAGAGTGATTATTACAACAGCAATTAGTAATCGATCAGGATTGTTATTTTGTTTTTATTCACGATAAAATAATAAGCTTTCTGTACTAATATTAATATCCATATAATTGTATGATGGGGTGAGTGTTCAAAGTAACGATTTGCTGCGTTGATTAATGATGCGGAATTATTAACAAGAAAATATACATTTTGAATAATACACCCAATGAAAATGATTAATGGACCATAATTCAACGACAGATCGATGATTTTCCAACTAAACATATCGGTAGATATAATTAATCGCAAAATTCACGATGAACTCGAAGAACTCGAGCGATTCGAGTTCGATGAAAATAGTACGAGCACGCTGGGGCTTCGGGTTATTCGGAACGCTTCGATAACGGATAGATCGATATAAAACGAGGGCCGATTAATTAATTCGATTGTGCCAGATAACGCGAATCCTCCTTCTCGTGCATCGCTCGAAACCCATGCTCGAAAACGCGCGCGCACGATCGTATTTAAAAATAAAGACACTCGAATTTTAAAAAATCTTCCTCTCTCCGATATATTACAACAATTAATATCGACAGTTTATCCAATTTAGAGTAAATGATTATTTGAAACGTTTGAAAATTCTAGAAATGTTAATTTCAAATCTTCAAATTGCGTTCCAAGAACAGAATATCGATTCGGTATGTTGGAAATCTCAAATTAAACCCCGTTTAATTCTTAAAGAAATGATCCACGATTAATTTCAACCCCTTTCGTCGAAGGACAAAGATTCACGACCTACTTCATCGAATTATCGAACGATCGTCCCAGGAGGAGTTTTATTATTGCAAGTTTTTCTTGGAATTCAGGCTGTCTTAAAATTCGATTCCGCCAAATAATATGCACCGAAGTTTTGTTGGAGGTCGAGTACCACGAATTACACGATAAAAAAAGAAAGAATATGTTTTGTAACAGGGTCCAAAGAGGGTGAATTAAAAACTTACTCGTTCCTGTGCTTTTTAAGGGGTAGTTAAGAACTATTAATGGAGAATTTTGGTGAAATTCTGCCTTCTTGGGACAGTTAAAAAAATTATCATGGAACTTTGTACGACATACTATTCAGGGTGACTAGATCCAAAGGACGATGTTTTAATACAAGAAAATTTTGCGAAATTCTACCGTTTTGGGATTGTTAAAAGACTGTTAAGGAATTCTTTACGAACTACTTGTGATGTATAAAATTCTACCTATTTGGGGAGTTGTAAATTGCTAAGAAACTCTTAACTATGAATTTTTTTTTCTTGAAATTCTTACCTCTGTAAAAAATTTGCAAATATCATTCAAGAACTCTTAACAAATTTTAACTAAATTCAAAGAGTAATATTTCGAATAAAGATCAAGTTTTCATACATATTTCTAAAGAATAAGGTCACGAAACACTGAGTCTATTTAAATATTTGTCAAAATAATTGATGGATATTAATTAGATTAATTTTCTTGTCTATTGACGGAGTACGATCGTGTTATTTTAAATAAACTATTAAAGTGATGTATTTTTTGATATTACCATATGAGTTGTGAAACTGTTGGTGATGAGACTCGAGACCGGTTCCTGGGTGGTGGATATCCAGCATGGCTTCCGGCTCGCCTCCGCTCTCAGAGCAGTTGCTCAGGGCTAAAACCAAACCGATAGACACACACCTTGCGTTTAAACTTCAAATCAGTTTTCATGGTGGCGATCCATTATCGCGCGGAATAATACCCTCGCTTATAATTTCTTTCGCGTTTCTCTTTATCTTCGCGCTCTGATTTTTCCACGTCTTTCCCTTCGTTTCGTCCTGTTCCTTTCAAATTCTCACACTTTTAACTTTCCTAAATTCTAATACTTTTAATAAATTTCCATATTTACAAATTCTCTGCTTTCCAAGTCATATTACTAAATTCTAAGCTTTCCAAGTTTTCACATTCCCAAATTTTCAAAAATCAAAATTCTAAGCTTCCCAAATTTCTATATCCCAAAAACTTTATGGCTTATGACAAAAGCAAAGAAAAAGAAAGCTCGTATTCTTCGATCAAAGTGAAAACGACGACGAAAGGGTGACGAAGGAAAAATCATCGGAAGCAACGCAACCGATTCATTCTATTTTCCGTTTCCGTGGTTCGCGTGAACACAACTGAAAATCAACGAACGAGAAACAACGCAACGTGCACGAGAAAGAAATCATAAAACGGAAGAGCAGGGGTATGTCACACGTTCTCTTAAAAGTATAACTTATCGATACAAATCAAACAATTAACCAAACATCAGAAAGGAAAAATTAAAAAATCAGAACAGCGTCCTTCTTAACGTTGATTCAAAAACTGCCTGTTCGAAGAGGTGTTTCGCTTTTTCAAAAATAACAAAATTTCTCAAATTCAAAGGAAAATCACCTCCTCCTGATTTATTTTTTTCTCTGTTTTTTGTATTCAACGTCGAGGACACGGTTGGTCGCGAAAAATTGCTCTCGTAAAAACATTCTCCTCGCTGGGAAAATCAAGAGAGAAAGTAACAAGCAACAGAAGAGAGGAAGAAAACGAAAGAAAAAGCGGAAACGAAGAGGACTGAAGCGGATCGAGGGACGTGAGGGACGCGTGTACGCGGAAAACTAAAAGGAAAAGTCGACGAAAGAAAAACGCGAAAGCGTTCTTCCGAATCGCGAAAAACGATCGATCGATTTCGTGGTGCGTGTCTTTGTCTATCCGTTTGGCTGGTCGAATATCGTTGAAACCTCGCGAGATATCGATTTCACGACCGACACCTCGATAAAACACGTTTTCCATTATTTTCTTTTTGATTTCTCTTTTTTTTGTTTTGGAATTTCTTCATTGAGACCGGTTCCTCTACGGTCTTCCGTGTAGACTTCCGGTTGATCATCATCTTCGGCTGACGACGGAAGTGTCCGATCGTTCACGAACTACTTTCAACCCTTTTACAGCGGGAAATATTATGAGATGTATGCAGGGAGTTCAATTATGAAGAAGAATTGTTTGCATTTGTTTCTTTTTTGAAAATGAAAATTTATCGTGACTAAATGAAAACTTGTAAAAAAATTCTTTCCCTTAGTTTTCTATTGAGAATATTTCTTTATATAGTTTAAATTTATCATGTTCAAATAGAGATTAGGTTAATCTAAGGGATGATTTTTGAAGCTTAAAATAAATTTTTAATTAATTAGTCATTTTTATATACCTCCTTGAAAGAGGAAATGAAAAATTTTCGAAATGGAAACTTTTCCATGATTTTCATAGCCTGCGAAAGACTAAGGATTAATTTCCAAAGCTTAAAATAATATTTGCTACGTCGATTGATAACTTTTTAAACAATTTCCAGGCGAGAAATTAGTGGACAAAGTTTTTGACTCTGTTCGACGAACGACTCCGCTATAAATTGCTTCTACTCGTCTCTTCTATATATCAAGGGTAAACTGAAAGCACCCCTTCATCCCCTTCTACGTGTCCAACGGACCTCTCGAATAATTTCACGAACCAGTTTTGAATAATCGCTTGGATATTCGGGTAAAACGATTATGTAAAGTTGTAAATTATTCTCCCGAGGCTGGCCAGTCCAAAGACGGGATAGGAACCCTCTTGAAAGAAAATACTCGAGAAGGTCTCTTAGGTCCTAAGAGTATTGCATATCCAAAAGAAAAAGTCCTCGAACAATATTTCTTTCGCTGTACCAAAATTGAATAATTCAGAATTTCCTGCAAAGGTGTACTAACCACCTCCCCAATGCAAAAATCAACCCCCAAGAACTTGGAATCATACATTCTGTCCTTTAAGAGGGTTAAAAAGTGACTTTTAATGCAACTAGTCGTTCCAACTAATACGTCCTTGCGCTAAGACAAGGGTCGAAGGCACTTTCTTTAATTTCACCCTCTCCATAGACTCGAGGATTCCTCTATCAACGCCTGTAATTTCTCTTCGAACAGTGTAAAGTAACGATTAAACGTGAATCGAAAGGAGAAAGAGAGAACCGTCCCACAAAAGGGTTGAGGGGTGATTCGAGCCGTTTTTTCCCTTCTTCGCGAAAGAATCATCCCCTTCCATTACGGTACCAGCCTGTACATACGCCAGTCACGTACGTAACAGTAGCAGACTGACATGTATGCCTCGTAACAGTAAGCCGAGTTCCCACTGAGAACAGGGGCGGATCTAGAAGCCCTCCGTGAGGATGAAACATGTAAATAGAATGAATTTTATTTGATTAATATTTCTCAATAGTTTATCGAATATAACGTCATGAAATTCATGAAACTTTTTAAATGTCATTTGTGAAATGTAACTGAAAATTTTTATGAACATCCCAATTTTAAATTAAACTAATTATGCAAAATCATGGATGTTCAAAAATATTCAATATTAGGAACTGCGATATTAATTCTTTCTTTTGAATTTTAATTTTAAAATTGTTAGATTTATGAAACTCTTGCCGGATCCGCCACTGTCCGACAACCTTATACGATGGAAAAAGAGGGTAGAAAGCTGGAGTGAAACAGGGGTGGAGATAGAGAGAGACAAGCTATTGTGTGTAATAGGTGTTCCGTGTGGTGTACATAAACGTATACCGCATGCATGACGTGGAGGATGAGTCAGCTCGTGAAAGCAGTTTCAGGGAGGAATTCATCACGAAACTTTCTGGAAATATTTGTCCCTTTTTTCCTTTCCTTTTACAACCCTCTTGTAACGGTGGAATTCTTCGACAAGTACTAAAACTGACTTATACCTTTTAACCCAACGACTGCTGAAATCTCTTCAAAAATAATCTCCTTCAGAATTTGGAATACCAGATACAAAGCGTTCTAAATTTTTCAAAATATCAAGAAAAAGAAAAGAACATCCCATGAAAGCTGTACACAGTTATCATCCACAATTCTTAAGCTTTAAAATATAATTTAATGATACTTTTATGTCATCAATCAGTGGAAGACTTTTGAAGTTTCGAAATTGGTAATTGTTCGATTCGATTTGCAATCATTCATTTTCTACTAAAACCATCAACGAATGCTTTACGTAGTGATTTTCTTGAAACTTTAAGCTTTAAATCGATGTATCATACGTACCGTTTAACGGTACTTTTATGTCATCGATTCGCGTGAAACTTTTGAAGTTTCGAAATCGAGCATGTGATACCCAACAACCGAAACAGCAACCTTTCGCGTGTTTCCAAATCAATGTATTCAGGAATCCGGAGTATAAACATCGGCGTATCTAGCGGCAAAGCGTCGATCGAAGCGACGAGACACGATTAACGCGGGATTAAACATCGATCCCCGGTGGGAAAATCGATTTTTCCATCGGGCTCGTGTCGGAATCGTTTGGCCCAGTAAACTGTTTTTCCGTGAGCAGAAAAGGCTATTCGGTGAATAGCAAAGGGAAAGAGGGGGGGTTATACCGGTGCAGATGTCACGTCGAAACACCTTTCGTGGAACAGCTGTTACCATGGCATCGACCTAGGAAAATCCTGACCTTCGACCCTTCGACCTTTTCATCGATAATGGATTAGAAAAATCCTTATACAAATTCTTCACCATCTTTTGATTATTATTCTCGACGAGTTTTCAATATCAAATTACTTTTATGATACATAGAAATTTTCGTTGTTTAATTTCAATTTTGGAGGGAAGATCGATGATCGATTGAAAACGGCAGAAAATAAAAACAAATCGATTGAATTTTCTTCGAATGCAATGCGGCCCGTTAAAAGCGACCGAGTCTTGGCTCGAATTAAAACTTTGCTCGGCTCGTTGATAAACGAAAGGTGACACCGGTATGTTTTACGATAAGCCTGCTCTCCTCGAACGACGATACACGGTAAACGTTAACAAGAATTCATTCGCCACAGAAAGAATCCTCTTGGTGATTTTGAAAATAATTCATCAGAAATTTTCTCCTTTTATATTTGATGCGAATAGATGACATAAAAGTGTCAGAAAATGTCACTTGTTTCGCATCAATTTGAAGCTTAAGATTGAAGGAATATCTGTATAAAGCTGTCAACGAATAAAGGTAATCATAAAAAATGATTTGACGACAAGTACCTGGATACAATATCTAGTTATCTAGCGGTTATTCATTTGATTTGCAAGCGACAGGTAAAGTGTTAATAACAGAAGCGGACGATGATACACTTAGAGGGGGTCGTATTCTATACTTGGAAGAAAAGAAAAAAGGAATCTCAGGCGTGGAAAGAGGGGAGCCAACACGTTGAAAATAATTGTCCTGTGACTACGGGCCGGAAACCACGGTGGTCAGCGTAAAAGCCCGCATCATCGATTGCTGTTTATCGTGCGTGCCAAGAGGAAACGCGTTTCGTGCTCGCACGTGTTCCTAAGAATTTCCTCTTTCCTATTTCTTTCCTCGATAAGACCTCAAAGTATGATTTTAATTACACTATTACCAATCAATCAATTCAGAGATCCTTGCACTCTTTTTATTATAAATACATCTCAATTATTTGAATAATGAAAATTTAGGTCACAAGAGAATAAAAACATATTCTACGGATCTTTCTTCGATTCTCGTGAAAGAAGGGCAGGAAGATGATGCCCATGAAGTGCAGGGGACTCTTAACATGCAACGGGGACGCATCCTTGAAACAGAACCTCTTCACAGTCTTCTTCTTTTTTTCCCTCGTCTACCTTTTTCTGTTTTCCTTTTTGTTTCACCTTTCGAAGCACCTCCGCAACGACGACAGATGATGTGGGTACCACGAGGGGTCATGACGTCACTAGGAACACCATCCTCGTCGCTCATATGACCGTCTCTTTTCTTTGCCGGCCGCGTTTCGAGGGCTGCGAACGACACCTTTCCACGGCCAGCTGTCACTCGCATCTGTAAGTTCTTTCAGCCGAGTTCTGGAACTCGATCAGGAACAGAGGGAACGCGGTACAATTTTACGTTACACGATGATCGCCAAAGAGTTAGAGAAGTTCGAGCAACGAGTAACGATGTAAAGATTGTTCAAACGAACCTCGAAGATCGTTCGAAAAATTGACGGCTCAAAGAAACGATAATAAAAGTAAAATACGAATTCTGGAAGATGTAGACAAGGAACTCTTTGAAAATTTCAGACGCTGACAATTTCCAAGCAGATAGGGAAACGCTCAAAGTAAATGCGGATAACCTTCGACTGTCAAGGTTCATAGAATCGAAACTTCCAACAAAGTCAACCTAGTTAAAGTTCTCGATAACGAATTACGATTTTCACTTAAGCGTGTTTCGCACGCGACAGCCTCGAAATGGTGCGGATCACGTTAAGTGAAATCAGAGGCGTAGTCACGAGCACGGATAATGACATATCTTGGTGGGGAAAAGTAAATAAGTGGACACGGGAGACCTGCTGGCTCTGTAACTAATGTACCTGACCCGTTTCAACGATCGATAACACCGGTGGACGCGATTAAGCGCGAACGACGATCAGAAACGGGCCAAACGCACACGTTCGTTCCCAAATGAATTTCAACCGATGCCTAATTAAACCTTTCGATTATAATTTTATTATCAATATCGGTGTAACAACATGCTGAGACACATTTCACGATCGCGGGACACGCGATTTTGTCTGATCGATTGTCGCGGTCGTTTAGACGGTTGCGAGGAGCTGTCTTTCAAGAATCGTTGTTCGACGGGAAGCATGTTTTCTTCGGTCGCGGTTCGATCGATACGACTATTACTACCGTGTGTGTATGTGTCCATTTATTGCCAACGTACGAACTGAGGATACGAGAACTGGAATTAGCACCGCTTTCGCATCGATCCTAGCTTTGAATCATTTACGAGGACTCGTATGCAGTGGCCGCGAGCGTAGCTCTTTCGCGGCACTTACTCGCCTTCATTTTCCATGATAAGTGTTTCCTCCTTCGAGAATTTTTATAAAGAACGAAAACATAAAGATGCTACGTTAATAAATAAAACGACGAAGGATGCAGAATGGCCACAGAGATATTCCCACAGCTAGGATGCATCCTCGAACGTGTTTTAATGAGACGACAACCGAGAGAGACACCCTTGGAAACGAGCGGGGAAGGAAGGTGAGAAACAATGCCGGGCCTCTAATCTGAAGGGCACTGGATCGAACCCTTCTTCTTCAGCAGCATTGTCTCCGCGAGCGAACCCTTTGCTACTGCCGCAGCTTTTCTTCGCTTCTACCCCGGCCCATTTCACGACCCTTACGAACGAAGACAGAGAAAGAAGGACTGGTTACACAGAATAGTCACTGGCCCCTTCTCGACATTATCTTTGCGCCTCTGCCGTGCTACAAAAGGAACGATGGAAGACCTAGAGAAAGAAGGGGCAGAGGGAGGGTGAGAAACGAGCCATCGTTGCCTGGGAGAAATGTTTGTCCTCCATGAACGTAACTTTGCTTTTCTTATTTCTCAAGCCTTATCTTCGCACCATCTCTCTGCCGTGACCTTCTTAACGCTTCCAGTCATTGCTTCCAACGATTTATCAATTTTTATGGGGTATCAGTAAGATTGATTCGGAGTATTGAAATTCGAGGAAGCATCGTGTAAGTGATTTGCTAAATCGTGGTTGAAACGTAAAAAGCAATGGATCAGAGATGACCTACATAGGAGAGCTTAGTGCCGTTTAGTATCCTATCACCTCGTAAACTTCCTAGTTCGACGAGCGAAAGAGAACAATAGAAAGGAAGCAAATCCTGTGTAACTCTGACAAGCAGAATTTCAACAAACGATGATGCTGTAGGAAAAGAAACATTTTTGCCACTTTCGCGCGCATTTTTTACCCAAGGTAGTTGCGTAAGAATCCTGCGTCAGAGCTTTGCTACCCTCGAACCGCGAGTTTTTCAACGCTCAACACTGAGTTCTCCAGACAAGCGTAAAGTTTCGATAGCAGATAATAGTTTAGCAGGTCAGAGAGGCGAAGCAAAACCCATAATTAACCCCATGCAGTATGATCGGTAATGGAACGTTCGTTAACTAGCCGAACGATAAAACTGGGTAAGGCTGAATGGTGGAGCAATTCCGGTTGCATTGCAGTCAGCATGGAAGTTTGGTGTCTATTAGGCGCGAAATCGCGCAGCACAGATAACACGTTCCCGAACGGACAGGGCAAGTCTTGGGCAAAGGAGGAAGGGATGAAGGAGAGCGTGGCAGGGGTATGGGGAACATGGCGTCGTCGAGGTCGCGCTTGCGTCGTGACGCTTGCACCGCGTGACCACGATCAATAAACTGTACGCGGTGTGTTGTGCCGGGGCAAAGGATGTTGAATTCGAAAAGTGTTATTCCGCGCGTCTATCTCTGAATGATATGGAAGGGAACGCCTCTCCACGTGGGTGCCACGTGTGCGCTTCCGCCCGCGTCTTTTACGCGCCTGCACACGCTCCGCCGTCGTCGGATTTTCATCCTACCGACCACTAAAAGCCGAACACCGTGCTACCTCGTTTTCGCGCTATCCTCTTTAGCAATTTCACACGCCTATGGAATGCGGTATTTCGATCTGCTCGAATCGAGAAATGATTTTCTCGCTACATTCAAAGAGCGAGAGTCCTTTTTAACATCCTGGACGATGGATGGTGCGGTAGCTAGTCAGAGAAGGTAGTTTAGAAGGAATCAGAGCAAAGATACGTTTGGTGCAGAGCGTTAGAATTGAATTCGATCAAGACGAGAGTGTGCGACGCGATCGCGATTAGGATGTAGGTGGTTTGAGAAACGAAAGCAAGATCGAGCGACACGCTAGATCGTACGATATGCCGATGTCCGTGAAGGAGATCGAACGCGCGCGACTACCGGTAATTAGCACGTTGGCAAAAGTAAAGGTGACGAAAAGAAGGAGCGTGTTATACGTATTTTTGTACGTATTGGTGGTAGATTGGACGGAAAGGACTAACCTGCTAGCCGCAAGGCGGACATTCTCTGAAACTCGGGTTCCTGTAGCCACTTCCACATCCGTCGGAAAGTCTCTCGGCCGCTCTTGAGCTTCGACCAGGGCTTCGGGTTGCGCAGTAAATCGCTGAGGGTACCCTGACTACGACAGAGGACCCTTTGCGCGAATATCGCTTGCGGTATGCTGTACCTCTTCAACTCGGCGCTGATCCTTTGCGCCAGTTCCTTAGTGTTGATCTCCTCGACCTCGCCGGCTCCGTTGCCCGCCGAGGAGACGGTCTTCATGACGACCGAGGTGTGCTGCACGTGCTGCGTGTGCGATATCGTCTGCTGTTGCATCGACTGCTGCTGCTGCTGCTGTTGCTGCTGTTGTTGCTGCTGCTGTTGCTGTTGCTGCTGTTGCATTTGCGTTTGCATAGGAGGCGGCGAAGCAGCGGGCACCGAATGTGTGGGCGGGGAATGATGAGAAGGCGCGAAACTTGCGGTCGCCGAGACGGCCGGCGGCGAGGAAGGACTAAGGGCTGCCGGACTCTGCTGCAACCTCGGCAAAAAGGCCGGGTCGTAGTGAGGACTGGCGGACTTGTGCGGCGAGTTCAATCCGCTCTGACTGTAGGCGCTCTGGGGCGATAGAGGACTCGGTTGAAGACCGGCGCCAGGCGAAGGATAATTGTGCGGCGGCGACATGCTCATCGAGGGCAGTTTGTCGTAAGCGTACGGCGAGCTGCCCATCCCGAGGCCGATGCTACCGAGGCCGTTGTTTTGCATGACCGCGAAACTACCGGTGACGCCGCCAGCCGCGTGTGCACTGTATACAAACTTGTCGCTCATCGTGGAGATCGGCGGTAACGGCTGTAACGGCGTCAGGGTCGCGTAAGAGGAGTTCGGACTGAAGCCGGGCGGCGACATCCTTTCCGCGACCGAGGTCAGTGTCTGATAGGTCGGCTCCGGCTGCATCGCCCTGAAGTCCGTCGCGTCGATCATACTCGCGACCGAGACGCTTATCCCCGACGTCGGCGTTAGCTTGCCCGGACTGAGAAGCTCCGAGTCGGCGTCGCGCGAGTCCACGTCCACGTCCTGAGGTGGCACGATCACCGACAGCGACTCCCTCGCGTTCTGTCTACCACCACTACCACCACCACCACCACCTCCACTACCGCCGCCGCCGCCGCCACCGCCACCACCGCCACCGCCACCGCCGCCGCCGTTTCCGTTGCCGTTGCCGTTGCCACCAACGGCGCCACCGACGGCACCTCCGCCGCTGCCGCCACTGCTGCTGCTGCTGGTGCTGCTGGTGCTCGTGCTGCTGCTACCGCTACCGCTGCCGCTGCCACCACCACCACCACCGCCACTACCACTACCACCACCGCCACCGCCACCACCGCCACTACCGCCACCGCCGCCACCACCTGCCCCGTTACTGCTACACGCTGGCTCCTGGGACGACGACAGATCCTCCGCGGCGGCCAGCTCCCGCTCCTCCTTGACGCCGAGCGCGCCAGCCGCCAGTAGTTCCAGCGGCAAGCTCGCGCACGCGATGTCCGGGCTTTGCGACGCCGAAGACGACATACCCTCTGGATTACCACCACCTCCTCCGCCGTTTCCACTTCCACCGATCTGATGTCTACCTCCTCCCCCCGTTCCTTCGCCGCTTCCTTCGTGAAGCTGCTGCTGTTGATGATGGTGATGAAGGGGATGATGATGATGATGTTGCAACTGCTGTTGATGATGGTGATGGGATTGTTGATGATGATGTTGATGTTGTTGTTGTTGTTGTTGTTGTTGTTGTTGATGGTGATGGTGGTGATGGTGGTGGTGGTGATGATGATGTCTACCCCCACCGACCGCCGTCCCTCTACCACCGTTGTTGTTACCACCTCCGCCTCCGTTTCCTCCACCACCTGCACAGTTCCCATTCGAGCCACCCCCACCGGTTCCCCGGCCATGCGTAGACACCGCCGCCGGGGAATCGACCGAGTCCAGTAATTGCTCGCTATGCGATTGATGATCGGCTATGTCCCCTATACCTTCCATTTACGCACATCTAGTTCGGGTGGCCGCGCACTCGCTCTCCCGTGCTCGGACACACCGCGTGCACACACCGGCACGATCGTTCGTCTCTCCGAAATCCCGCGCACTTTCTCCTTCTTCGTCACTATTTTCTCTTTCCTTGTCGTTCCGCGATTATCCTACGAAACTGACACCGTTCCTTTTTTCCTCTGCTGACTGTCGTTCGCTATCCCCTATCGCTCGTAATACACGCACGCACAGTAATACGAATCGCTCTTATCTCTTCTCGTCTCGCGCACTTGTTCGTCGCCTTTTCTTTCCCGCTATTTCGTCGTGTCACTGAGCGGAAGACCAGTCGCGGCTCGCGTCACTTTTCAACGAGGGAAACGACAACATCGACGACGACGACAACGACGCCGACGACGACGACGTAGACGAAGACGAAAACGAAAACGAAGACATAAACGAAGACGTGAACCACCACCACCACCAACAACACCTCCTCGTGTCCGGTAATCTCGAACGAATCAGAATCGACGCGCCACCGTGACCGCGACCGATGACGTCGCTCGTGAACCAGGACGCGTCTACTCTCGCTACTACTTTCCACGAGTCAACCGACGACGACGACGACGACGTTGCTGTTGCTCCACGACATCCAGCACGTCGGATCGGCATAGAGATCCGGTACCACAGCGGCGACGACCACCGTGCGCCCATGACATACGCGGAGCGAGTGAGAACGCACACTCTGCGCTCGAGTGAATACGTTAGTTCGTGTCGAGCGACAGGGAGAGAGAATCAGGGTAAAAAGAGCAACAGAAAGAGAGAGAGAGGAACGGTAGAGAAGGGGGATAGCTCTCTGTCTCGCCGTGTGCGTCGATCTCTCTTCGTCTCTCGCTAGGTGCCCACCGGTACCCCGAGCTGTCCAAAGGACCCTTCCGTTCCGTTTCACTTATGCCCCTCTACTCTTCGCCACGAGACTCACTACCACCACCACCACCAACTACCACCACCAGTAGCACCGTTACCACCTGGTCCACCCTATTAAACGACGTGCTCGTGTGTTTTTCCCTGTATTCCGTTAGTTCGTTCGTTCGTTCGTTCGTTTTACGTTTCTCAGCTGCGCGACACCCTGACGCGTGCTACCTTCAAACTACGCTTCCTCCGGGTCCAGGTGCGACTCGTACGATATATCCTCTCCTTTCTTCCCCGCGACTCACAGCCCGCTTTACACGCGCGCTACGCTCTCTGTCTTTCTCCCTCTTTCACCACCTTACACGTTACCACTGCGTCCGCGCCAACTGACATCCTTCTTCTACCACCACCGTCACAACATCACTCGCGCTCTGTCTTTCGCCACCGGTGAGCGTACCTGCACCAGTCTTCACCCTCTCTTTCCAACCGGAGACACCACGATCCACGTGAAAGGCTAACCCCTTTCTCGAGCGGGATTTACAGTCTGTAGGAAAAACACTTTGGTAGCAAACCGAACGGGTTTCTCGATTCTTCCAGTTACGTTTATCGTCGTCGCAGTTCGCGTGGAATTCGCGTGGAATTCGTGTGGAATTCGCGCGAATACCGGCAGCTCGCGTTCACAACCACCCTCGAACGGAGCTTACGTCTTCAACGATGACATATTCGTCGTCGTGGCTGCGAGAAACCACTAGGTGCGCGCCGCCGGCATCGTCGCTACCACCACCACCGCCGCCACCGCCATCACCGCTCTCCTCTGGCGTCAGTTAGCTTTTCTATCGATTTTCCGATACCTACAGCGTTGCTCGATGCGCCGATACTTCGAGCATAAACATCGACTATACGGCGACCTATCTTCGACCGATAAACGCGTTCCGCGACGGCACGGCCTTGCCAACCACCTCCACCTCGATCCGATTATCGAGTGCCAACCCCTTCGATCCTCTATCCCGCTCGATTTCTTCCTCGACCAACAATTATTCCGTGTATTTCTCCTTCCAGTTTATTTCTTCCATCTATTACATTTTCACTTATATCCTCCCGCAAATGTCTCGTTCGCTCTGAGAATCTTCCTCTTCCGCTATTAAGATTCGTAGAACTCGGAAACGGCAGGCGCGCCTTTCTACGAACAGGACGCGGAACCGAATCCCGGGATCAATAGACAATCGAATCGCGAGTACCGTCCAATCGATCAGCGTTTGCCTACTCCACGTGCCTCGAATCGTTAGCAAAGCTCGAACGTGTGTCTGGACTTCAGGTCCGACGCAATTGCACGATCGAAACGCGCATCCCCTGTGTGTCGGTAGAGGAGGGGAGAGCAAGGGCCAGTCTCCAAGATGTCCTCCCCTGGGTCTTCTCCGATCGATCGACCACCCCTTTTTAGTCGTTCCTCCGCTAGCTGTCACGATCGAGTAGTCGAAGCGATGGTCGAAGCGAATCGAGGACGCGCTGCTGGCTCTCCCTTTGCTCGGCCAGCACCACCGAAGCCGTCGATAGGCTGGATCAATAAGGGAGGGCAGCGGCGTCGAGAGGCGTCGACGCGTGCCGCTACTACGATCTCTCTCCCTCTTTCTCTCTTTACCGACTCGAGCCCGTTTGCCGTTCGATTCTCTTAGTCGAAGTAGCTTCACACTGGCGACCGATCGGTCGATGGAATCGACGACCACAACGACGAATCGAGCACGCTTAACGCGCATACACCCCCGACGCGATCCGCTTCGACTCGCGATCCCCGTCCCGTTAGATGCCCGTGCGCATTCACGCGCACGCGTGCGCGCACCCTTCGAAACCTGTCCACCCTCTCTCTGGCCACCGAACAAAATGTCACCTCTCTTTTCTCTCTTTACAGAGCTCTCGAACAAACTCTCGAATTCGCGCGTCTAATCTCTCCCTCGATTCGCGATTTCTTCTCCAGACGAACGAAGAAACGAGACTTCGGGTTCGGGTCCGGTGGCAGGACGATGCGAGACGCGGTTTACGAACGCCGCGCGCTCTCAGCCCGCCGTTACGAGGTACCGAGAGGGAGCGAGAGTCGTACCCTTGCTTCAGACGAAGAGGAAACGAGTCAGAGGGTTGCGCAAATCGCGAACGCGACTACTACGTGTCTACCGGCTACCTTCGTGCGTCCTTCGTTGGCCGAGGGACCTACGGGGAAGAGAACACGGGGCTCGGGTGGGGAAACAGAGAGGGGTGGAGATCTTGTGACGGGGATCTGTAACGAACTCGATACGCAGGGGTCGCGAAGAGACGGACGAGGGGCGGCGGAGGACGCGCTCGAACCGCTACGAGGGGTGGCTCAGGGACTGGATGACTGTTCCGCGCGCCCGGGCCTAAGGGATCCCGTAGGAAAGATACTCCCTGCCATTTGACGCGCAATTTCGATAAAGCGATGTTGCGATCTTTCGTGCAACACACTGAAACGAGAGAAATTGCTGCGGAGTTGTGCTTTTTACTTGGAACCGATGCAGAGAAGCTTGTCGCTAAGTAAAATTTGTCAAACTTCTCGTAAAATAATATTCCATAGTAACTAGGTAAAATAGGTTAAAGGTTGTTCCATGAAACTGCTTGTCAGATACGTTTGCACGTGTAAAGAGGTACAAATACGTTCCACACGTAATATTTCACGGTGACTGCACTTGCTATATTAGAGCAACAAAGGTCAGCTGTCCTTTGACGATAAACGAAGCAAGCAGGGTTGAATAAATTCAAGCGTTGACCGAGAATCGAAGCAACGAATCGTGGCGGACAAATTTCGCGCTGAAACGCAGCAGCGCGAGATGTTCGATCGAAAGCACGCGGAATATTTTCCCGCGCGAAAAACTGCACGCGTCCGATCGGTCGATCTCGCGCACCTCCGACTACCCTGTTCATCGATCGACACTTGTGACAGAATCGGTAGAGCAATCACGACGCAGCTACATCGAAATCAGAGTAGAAGGTGCTCCAGACGAAATCCATCGGCCCTCGCGACGAAATAAAATCGATATCGGCAGCGAAGTCGAGCACAGGAAGGAATAAAAACACGTCGCGCCCTTACGAGTCAACCAGCAGAAAAACCGCGCGATTTGTCAGAGGTTGCTCCTTTTCTCGAGCTACTAAATAACACACGTGAGTTTTCTTTTTTTCTTAACTATTTGAGAAATAGTTCAAATGTACAGCCATAAGAAGATTCTATGATGGGGATCAATTTTAAACTCGAAATTTCGATTCCGTCTCAAAGCGATCATCCCTCATCGATAAATCATAATCAACATCATTCTAACGTAACTTAACCCTGCAATGAAATTAATTAAAAAAGATCGCCATTCCCTTTTCCTTCTCCTTTCAAAGAACCTGACCATTCGATAAACGTGATCATCCAGCAAATTGAATAGTCGATTCGCAAACAAGGTACCCTGGCACCCAATTTCGACGCTCCTGAGGGTTGTTCGTGTATTAGAATGGAGGGGATGAGGTGAGGAGAGGGAGAGTACAGCGATGTAACGTCGATATCTCGCTCTATACCAGGCGTCGCGACGCCGGGTGGGGTGACCGGGGGATAGGGGAAAGTTCCACATGGGTAAAATAATCGATAGCGCGACCGATATGTATGTACCGAGAAAGCTTACACGTACACATAGTAGTGACCCGCCAACACCAGGCCACCCTTATGTAGCACACGTGTGTGGTTAGCACGCGAGCACCAGCGCGGAGAGACAAAAAGATAGGAAAGTGAAGGGCTGAAGAGGAAGAACGGTCAGCTTGTGCACATAAACGCGTGCTGCCATAAACACGGAAACGAGCCAGAGGGTGGTTAGACAGGGGTGAGACACAGAGTTTGTGTATGACCATAAGGAGAGGCTAGCAGATAATTTACGCGATTGTGGGAAGGGTGAAGGGCGTTTAATGGAGCCCAGTTTGAATTCGTCCAGGATAAACTGCCACTCCGTTTCAAATTTCGGTGAAACTATAAATTGGTAAGGGTATAATTGTAATAAAGATAATACAGGGATAACTTGAAGTCACTGTAAACAGGGTAGAAATATTTATGTAAAAAGAAGAATTGCGCAGTTGCATAGGGAGTTAATTAGAACTGCCATTTGAAGTAATTTCATTTATAGGTTTATCTTCTTATTCTTGATCCTTATTGACCTACCCTGTACAAGGTTTCGAGCAGAATAGATAAGGGTGTTAATATAGCTGGTAAATAATAACGGATTAGAGTAGCGGTTATATGGAAAAAGGGGTGGTAGACGAAGAAGGGAGAGCGTGGGCGTAAGATCCGTCCACGTCGTCAAACAGGGGGTGGCTAATAATAACACGCGCGGATTTTCCATATAAATACGAAACCGGTGATAAAGGGATGACAGAGAATGAAAGTAAAAAAAATATACCAGTCGTGTATAAATTTTCTCGTAACCACGTATAGGCGAATTTCACTCCCAAGTTTTCTTGAAAAAAAAATATAAATGGAACTATCTTCTTGCAAACCTTTCAATTTGTATACCGTTGCGAGGAGGTAGGGGGGGGGGGGGGGGGGGGGGGAGTAAGACATAAACCTTGACGCATTTGTGTGAAACCATACATGTCCTTCTAAAGAGAAACACGGAGAGGGACAAACACGTATGCGGGAAGTATGTGCGACCGCAAGTATATGGAACGAGAGAGATAGAGAGGGATGAAGAGAAGAGAAGTGCGAAGAACACGAGCGTAGGTGTTGGTCGAATGAGAGAAAGCGAGACAGGAACAGGGAAACCATATGTACCTAACGTGAAATTTGTACACCCTCGAGCACGCTCGGCGTCCCTCTAGGGAAAATGGCGGTCTAAGCCAACGGAGGGGAAGGTGTCCCTACCACTGAGTATGAGGCATTATGTCTAATTCACAGGGGACATTTTTGTATTCGATTTTCTCAAATAAATAGTTAGTCCATGAACGATAACTTCCAGAGGGCAGAAAGGAACCCATAGTTCCTAAAATACACCACCCCCGCAAGACGTGAGGCCGGGATCGCACGTTCGCGACAATGTGGCAAATCCGTGAACCGCCACTCGCGAGGTTGTAACAATGTTGCAAACGCGAAATCGCGACCTCGCATTTTGCAACATTGTTGGGCGCGCGGCGAGCACTTGCCTCACGGCATTTTCCCATTTTGTGAGGCATTTGATCTTTCGGGCGTAGCAATTAAAATCTGCGATTAATATTTCTCATTTTATTTTGAATATCAAGAATTAATTTTCGTCATTGTTCCTCTCTTATGGATTATTCGATCGAGGAGGTATTTTAATTTCGTGGCAGGCAAGAAAAATCGAAGAATCTTTCTGTATTAACGAGATCTCCCAGTGTTCAGACAATTTTCTACCCAGTGTGCGTCGGCTAGAATGTAATTAAGTTGAAACAGGAAGCCCTCGGGCCTCCTTCGACGTATCCCTCGAAACAGCTACGGTTTCCTACCATTTTTACTGTGTCCATGGTGTCCGCTACTCCCGTGTACACTCTGTCCTTCGTTCTTTAACTTTTCTCTATATCGTGTTTCTAAAATCAATGACACGACCACAGTGTCAAAGAAAAAGAATTACTAATTCGGTAAGAAAAATAATTGGTACGTGAATTTTAAACTTATCGATTAACGATGATCGGTCTACGATCGGCCAATTAAGGTCCATCGCTCCAGACAGAGATCGTATGGGTGAAGAAGGTGAGGTCGAGAAGGTTAATCGCAGGAATTGTGAAAGATCATGAAAAGAAAACGGCACGGGCCCCTTCTGCAGATGTCTCGTCAAGTCGCACCTGGCGGCAGGTGGTGGCTACCGTGGGGGTTCCTGTCCACCTTTCACCCCCTTCTCGCCCCTTCCCGTACCTGGCTCGATGACTTTCCTGGAGCAGACCGAGCCCGATGACTATAGATACAAATAGACTGGACATGCCTTTATTACTGACTGAACTCTAGACACTCAATAATGGGATATAGTCATTGATATTTTTTTTTTTAAAGGACATTTTTATACTTTAGGATACTTTTAGGATTTTTATATTTAGGATAGAGCAGAAGACGCTCGTTCTCGTGGCCGAAATTCAAGACCCCTTCGAAAACATAGGCTAACATATGATCATGGAGATTTTTTAAAAATACACACAATAGTTTAAAGATAAATATAATTTTATTAAATTTTTTTCTCGCTACAGCAATTTTACTGTCAGCCTACATTGTTCATTTTATTTTAATCGTATTCCGCACCGATAGTGATGCTCATCTCCTCGGAAACTATCTCTGTTTGATGGTACCAGCGATTCGTGTCCAAGACGACTATTTAACAGATTTAACAGACACGATCAAGTAAACGAAATGGTCATACGAATTAATTAAATGATTCAGATTAACTTACTTATTTCACCAGGGTGTACCACGACCTGCAACCTCTTACAGGAATAATGACACTCCCTGGGTGGTTCCAGGATCCATAATTTCTCTCCTTTTATCTGTGCTTGCCACGACGGATGCTCCACGTTGTCCACCTGGGACGATAAAGTAAGATTTCCTTAATTGTTTGATCGTAAAAGCGAAGGTGAGGAAATAGAACGTTCACTCACGTGTATAGGTGCCCCGTAACCGTGGCTTCCCATAAAAATCCAATCAGTTTTCTCGCTTTCCGCGGTGTCGGGCAGAAAATAAGGCTTTTGATAGTGTTTCCTCAGCACGTTGCCAATTTCGTCGTCGCAGTTGCTCCTTAAACGATGTTAGAATGTTAGCGAGTTGTCGATATGTTAATCAGTATCGAATTATTGTATCGTATAGAATTATTGAAAAAATGGAATTAAAGTACGCGTTGTTATTTCGCGAGATGAATACAGGCTGATATGGTTGACTATAAGCTCGTTAGCCGGATTGTGTGCATACGTGTGAGCTTTAGGGCGGTTATCGAAGCCTCGTAAATGCACCGTTCACGGGCGCCTCTTACCTACTTCCGGTATCCCCTCTCACGGTCCGTCACAATTTTGAAATACTCGATATTTCATTATCGATATCAAAATTTGTAGAAGATAAATGTTCGCTTACCAACCGACGTACCACGGTTTCGTTCCCTTTTCGAGAAGGGAACGACTGGTGCTCATGTTGAACACCTCCTGAAGATTCTTGAACTCGGTTTTGTACGGGAAGAATTGACAATTCGCGTCCTGACCTTCGTACAAGGATTTGAAGAAGGAGAAGGAGAATACTTTCGGGGCTGTCCAATTTGTTGTCGCATCGGTGATCACCACCGGCCTTCCGGTATACGCGTAACTGTTTCTCGAAACAGAGATATTAAATAGAAAAATATGTATATAGAACGAAATGATTAGGAAAATTGTACGAGACAATACCGTTCCTCGAACGAAACAGGTTCCGCGTTGGATATCCTGTCAACCTGTTGAACGTCCTGGCACATCGAGCAATCCTCGGCTGGCCGGAAAATGTTCTGCGTGAACGAGGGAAACTCTGCCAAACACTTGAAACAATATTTTTTTCTTCCATTTATTCCCCATCCTCGATGACATGTATATATAAACGCGTCATATACAGAGAAAGGGTTATTAATGGGATAAATTTAATCCACTGCAGTTAGAATTTTTTCAACTAATTAAGAATGGTAACAAGAATTGGGGATGAAAAATGTATATTATTGCATTGAAAAGAAGATATCTCGATGTTTTAATCTCTCACCTTGTCGTAGCGAACCGATAATCCATAATTCCACAAAAATTGGCCAAGAATCCAAGCGGGAATCAGTAGAATCCACAGGTGTGTCCTGCGAAACTTGGAACTTCCGGGCTTCAGCAAGGAATAAACGCGAAGTAATTTAAACGATCTGCTCGACAGACCGGTTCCTTCGATTTTATTCACCAGCGAACGTAATTCCTTCCTCGCGAGCTCGAAGGTTTTTCTCGAGGATTCGCCGTTCAATTTGTTGCTATTCACGTCCGTCATGACATAGATCTGTTAAAATTCTTTTGAAATTTTCAATTGTTCACTCGGATACTTGATCAATTCCAATTATTAATTTTCCACTCGCTGAATTATTTTTAATTTCAGTTCCTCGGGGATAAATTTATATTCGAAGATCCACTCTTTAGTTATTTCAAGGATAATCAATTTTAATCACCAATAGATTTCGACGACAGTGTTTTTCAATTTACAAATTGTATTTTTAAGATGGTGTTTGTTTAAGCAATCTTCTTATTGGAAATTTTTAGATGACCATGGCTACCGGGGGTTGACAGTGGTTATGGTGGTCGACGTTGAACTGCGCCAGGATCCTTTCACGAGGTTCCACGACGCCAAAGGACTGTTGCGCGTGGGGATGATGCGAGCACGGGGGTGTGAAATGAACAAGAATCTGGTATAGCGATTGATTGAAATGAAATTTGTCCGTGGGAACTGGGATCGACGCAATTCCTTCTAACCTTGCTTCGAAACAAGGGAATTCTCAATTGAAAAGGACACCACCTGCTTTTTCCTTTTATTTTCTCTTTTGCTTTTTCGTCGACTTCCATTTAGTAGAAACATAGATTGAAAAAAAAAAGAAAATGGAACACGCGTTACGTTAATATGGCGGTCGAGTGGATCCTGTCGATTTCCTTATCGCACGGAGCAGGTGGTGGTGTTCATTGAGCCGCGAGGATTTTCTTGTTAAAATACAATCATTGAGGCAACGCTTATCGAACGTTCCCATTTCCTTAACCCGTTTACTTTTCGCGTGTATTTCACCGAAAATCAATTCGAAACATCATTTATTTATTGCAATTAAAAGAACATACGCAATTTAAGAAAAACTGAAATCTCATCATATACATAAAGCGCAAAGACGTCCGTCCGTGTCACTTTTCAACTTGAGAACTACTAGAGTTAGAGATACGCTTTGTAAGTCGTTAGAAAGATCTTGCTGAGACTAGCTCACAGCTGTGGCGTTTGTGGGGCTAAGTGATCGGGGTCAAAAGTTACAGAGGTTTCAGATTTTCTATAGAAAGTCTATGGGTCGCACATTTCAGTTGCGCGCGCATTTCCTTAACGATACGTAATGTGTCGGCAGGGGCATTAAACCCGGGAGAAGTAAAAAAGAACAGCGAATAAAGAGAAAATGAAAAAGAGGAAGACGCGATCAAGATTTGATCTTTGCCGATTTCTTCCGCTCAGATCATATATGTTTACTTATACAAGGAATGAGCGGAGCGCCGGTAACGCTCTCTGGATACCCACTTGATATCATCTTGGGGTATTAGGCACCCCGAAGTACCGGTGATACTCTGCTTATCGACATCATGGCATCCGGGGTGCCAGAGACCCCGATGCACCGATGGCGCTGTCCTTATACCAACCTGACATCATATTGGGGTATTAGGGAACCCGAACCACCGACCTACACGAAGCTAACTAGAAGGTATAATAAAATATGATTATTTTTAATTTTTCTTAGTGTATTTCGTTTATAAATCGTTTGTGATTGATTGTGAGTCCATGTTTAACGTTTGTGACAAATTAGTTCTTTTGTAATTAGCAATTTTATTTCGGTCATAATGTCAGCCGGAACTTTTCAGTACTTTTTAATAACAAACAGATTTTGTGATAACTAATAACTGTTATTGATTAGAAATCCTTTGTTATTTACAAATATATCATTTTCATTGTTTCTGAGTGAATAATTTCTTAATTATCTACAAGTTTGTTTCATAATAAATAATTGTAGTGCGCATGCGAAAAATATATTCGAGACTGTTGCCAACAGAGAGCGTATCGGCGCGTTACGCATGTTTAAAAAGACGTTTACTTCCATCTGCACCCTCTATATCTCTGATTTCACTATATCCCTGCACCCTTATATCACCGCATTCCTTACATCTCTATATCCCTTACATTTCTGCAATCCTCACATTCCTGGCTTCTTTATATCCCAACATCCCTTACATCCCTGCATTCTTTTCATCTCGTCATCCATTATATCTCTGCATCCCTTACCTCTCTGCTTCCCTTACATCCCTGCATTCCTCACATCTCTACATCCCTTACATCTCTGCATTCCTCACATTCCTGGCTTCTTTATATCGCAACATCCCTTACATCCTTGCATTCTTTTCATCTCGTCATCCCTTATATCTCTGCATCCCTTACATCCCTGCATTCTTTTCATCTCTTCACCCCTTATATCTCTGCATCCCTTACATCTCTGCTTCCCTTACATCCCTGCATTCCTCACATCTCTGCTTCCCTTACATCCCTGCATTCCTCACATCTCTACATCCCTTACATTTCTGCATTCCTCACATTCCTGCCTTCTTTATATACCAACATCCCTTACATCCCTGCATTCTTTTCATCTCGTCATCCATTATATCTCTGTATCCCTTACCTCTCTGCTTCCCTTACATCCCTGCATTCCTCACATCTCTACATCCCTTATATCTCTGCATTCCGCACATTCCTGGCTTCTTTATATCCCAACATCCCTTACATCCTTACATTCTTTTCATCTCGTCATCCCTTACATCCCTGCATTCTTTTCATCTCTTCATCCCTTATATCTCTGCATCCCTTTCATCTCTGCTTCCCTTACATCCCTGCATTCCTCACATCTCTATATCCCTTACATTTCTGCATTCCTCACATTCCTGCCTTCTTTATATACCAACATCCCTTACATCCCTTACATCCCTGTATCCTTTACATCTTCTATCACTTATATTCCTGCATTCCATACATCTCAGTAGCTCCTTGCATTGAGTTTTTTCGAAATTTTCGCGAAATTCTCGAAAAAATAGCGCCCCCTAGCGGCAAAAATGTGAACTAAAATTCCGATGTCGTATCAGCGCCCTCTGGTGGCGAAAAAAGGAACTAAACCTTGCTCAGTTTCTGGCCCTCTGGCGGCAAAAAAGTGAACTAAAATTTCGATGTCGAATCAGCGCCCTCTGGTGGTAAAAAAAGGAACTAAACCATGCTCCATTTCTGGCCCTCTGGCGGCAAAAATGTGAACTAAAATTTCGATGTCGAATCAGCGCCCCCTGGTGGCGAAAAAAGGAACTAAACCTTGCACAATTTCTGGCCCTCTGGCAGCAAAAATGTGAACTAAAAATTCGATGTCGAATCAGCGCCCTCTGGCGGCGAAAAATGGAACTAACTTACCTTTACTTACCTTTACTTACCTTTATTCGAAGACGTCTTTGTAATATATTTATTATAAGGGATGCAGAGATGTAAGGAATGTAGGGATAAAAAGAATGTAGGGATGATGAGAACGTAGGGATTTAAGGGATGAAGAGATGTAAGGAATGTAGGGATGAAAAGAATGTCGGGATGATAAGAATGTAGGGATGAAAAGAATGCAGTGATGTAAGGAATGTAGGGATAAAAAGAATGTAGGGATGAAAGAGATGTAGGGATGGAAATAATGTAGGGATGATAAGAACGTTGGGATTTAAGGGATGAAGACATGTAAGGAATGTAGGGATGAAGAGATGTAAGGAATGTAGGGATGAAAAGAATGTCGGGATGAGAAGAATGTAGGGATGAATAGAATGTCGGGATGAAAAGAATTTAGACATGAAAAGAATGCAGTGATGTAAGCGATGAAGAGATGTAACGGAACGAGGGATGTAAAGGAATTCCGTAGGGGTCCGGGACTGGGGCCCCGGTCTCCACTGCACGCGGTCCGAGTAGTGCCGGCATCGGGTGTGGCCCCCGATGTCGGGGGAGTTTGGCACATGGCGGAGGGTCAAAAGACCCTTCGTACCGCCCTAGTGTAGGCCACCGTGGTGGTTTTAGTGGGTAAAAATCCCACACTACCTCCGGCCCCTCCCCAGGGGGGCTGAAGGTGTCTTTCTGAAGATTTCCACCACGTTAAATAAAAAAAAAAAAAAAAAAGTATTTCAGTTTTGCAGGAATGTAAGGAATGCTGGCATGGAAGGAACGCAGGGAAATAAGGGATACTGAGATGGCCTTGGCCTATAATGAGGCATAAAATTATATAAATAACTGGAAAAAGTAAAATAAAAGGGGTCCTCGGCTGAGACCCAGAAGAGGTATATAATCATAAATGTTATTCCCCTTCGATGAGCTTATTTAATAAACAAAAAAAAATAAATTAAGTAAATTAAATAAACTCTGGAAAAAAATTATACGGGTTATACCCTCTTGATACGGACCTGATATTATCTAGGGGTGTTAAGGACCCCGCTGCGCCAGTGACGCCCTCTGCGTACGAACCTGATATCATATTTGGGTACTAAGGACCCCGGAACGCCGGTGATTATCTGCATACTAATAATATGGCATCCGGGGTACCAAGGACCCCCAAGCATCAATAACTATCTCTGCGTACCGACCTGATTCGATCTTGGGGTGTCTGGGACCCCGAAGCACCGTCGACTCCCCCTGTATACCGACATTACTGCATTCGGGGTATCTGGGACCCCGAAGCACCGTTGACTCTCCCTGTATACGACATTATGGCATTCGGGGTGTCTAGGACCCCGAAGCACCGTTGACACTCCCTGTATACGACATTATGGCATTCGGGGTGTCTAGGACCCCGAAGCACCGTTGAAACTCCCTGTATACGACATTATGGCATTCGGGGTGTCTAGGACCCCGAAGCACCGTTGACACTCCTTGTATATATTATGACATTCGGGGTGTTTAGGACCCCGAAGCACCGACGACGCTCTTTGCTTACCGACACTACGGCATTCGGGGTGTCTAGGACCCCAAAGCACCGACGACACTCAGCTTACCGCCAGTACGGCATTCGGGGTATCTGAGACCCCGATATACCGTTGCCGCATACAGATATTTATGCCACCGGGGTGTCAGGGACCCCAATTCAAATAGCGAAATATAAGACCTAAAAACGAACAAATCGTGAAACTCGCTTGTTCGGAATAGCGATGGGTTTGAGCGAATCTAGCGAAATATAAGAACGAAAAACGAACAAATCGTGAAACTCACTTGTTCGGAATAGCGATGGGTTTGACCGAATCTAGCGAAATATCAGAACGAAAAACGAACAAATCGTGAAACTCACTTGTTCGGAATAGCGATGGGTTTGACCGAATCTAGCGAAATATAAGAACGAAAAACGAACAAATCGTGAAACTCACTTGTTCGCGATAGTGATGTGTGCGACCTGATTCGATCCTAGGGTGTCTGGGACCCCGAAGAACTGTTGAGCATCCGTGTATACTGACATTATAGCATTCGGGGTGTCTGGGACCCCGAAGCACCAGTAACACTATTTGCATATACCTACATGAAGCTAGCAGGAAAGAATAATAAATTATGGCATCCGGGGTTGCAAGGACCCCGATGCACCGTCACTGAATACCGTCATATGTCATTCTGGGGTATCAGGGACCCCGGTGGTGCTTTTTGCATGCCGACCTAATGTCATCCTGGGGTGTCTGGGACCCCGAGGCTACCCTTACCCTTACCCCGAATTTCGCCCAAAGGCTGGCATTTTTGGAGACTTTTCTGTCTCCATGTTGTTCAACGAACGCTTTCGACCTTCGGCCTTCGGGGATGGGTTGGCAGCCCTGCCAACCCCAAACTCCTCGCATTTTTTAAAAATTTCATTACTCATGCTTGTCCATACTTTTAAATCTTTTTCGCTTGAATCGGTGTGTGTGTGTGTGTGTGTGCGTGCGTGTGTATATGTGTGTATGACCCCTTTTAGTCGTCTCTTACGACAGGCAGGGGATACCGTGGCCGTATTCTAAACCCCCCGAGCCACAAGGGGCACCTCGAGGCCACGAATTCTCGAAAACACAGGCGATAAGTTGTCATGTAGTTTCCACCGTTTCTGTATAGATGGCGCTAAGATCGAATTTTTAAAATAATTTATGGCGCTCTTTTTAAAATACAAGTTTGTTAAACATTTATTTTGATAGTTCTTCGGTCTCGTAATAAATAAAAGGGTAGTCAGCCGAGGCCCAGAAAAGAGATAAAATCATAAATTTTATTCCTCTTTAATGAGCTTGTTAATAAGCGGAAAAAATAAATTAAGCAAATTAAATAAACTCCTAAGATAAATTAGAAGTATATGTATATTTGATAGATTGATTCGCACCCCTCGGCGGTCGTACCTCGTTGTAGAAATAAACGGGATTGTTTCGACGACCAGATGGGGTTCGGTTTTTACGATTGCAAATTGACAATTTCCCTGGTAATCTGTTTCTTCGTTAACAATCATCCCACACGAATTTGATACAGTTTCTTTTTCTTCTTCGATATCTAAGGGATGAGAAAGGGAGATGAAAATGAAAGGACCAACGCGCACACGCTGTTTTCAGCGCAATTAAATTCTTTAATTGTTGTCAGTCGGGTTCGAAATACACTAGTCGATCGTTTATCATTAATAATTATTGTATATACGTGGTACTCCTCCGGATATAAATAATACAACGTCAATAAAATAATGACAATATGCGTTCATCCTCTTCGTTTCACTTTCGCCTTAACAAAATTACACGTTGCGTTTATTATTATATTAATTATTACCTACTTCGCACGGTGTTTTTCCTAGTGGAAAGAACAGATACACTGAGAGTTAAATAAAAAAAAAAAAAAAAAAACGACGATGATGATGAGAATGATCGAATGACGATGATAATATTATCCCCACCGCGTTTCTCTGAAGGGAAGAGAAACCAGGGGATGATCCTTTGGACAAAATCTACGAAATTTTTTAATATCAAACAGCCAATTTAGAAATTAATTAACACGTTGGCTATGATAAAGATCAGCCACAAATTTAATATACTCGAGTAATTAAAAATAATAAAAATAGAACTTCAATTCTATATTTAAAGAAAATTTAAATGATATGAAACCGAATAGAAAAGAAAAATAGTAAGGAAATAATTTTTCATTAAAAAATTAAGAAAATCAATCGTTCCACTGATCATCCCCTTTCTCACCCCCGCGTCGGAGCTACATGTTACAATTAATACTAAATGCGTGGTGAAACTCCTCTAATACATCTAAAATGCACATCCATGCTTATTTTTAATGCTCGTTTAAATTTTCTTTTTTATTTTTAAATACGTGTACTTGCAGCACTGTAGCCTATCATTGTTATTTTTTTTTTTTTTTTGTTCTTTTCTATACGTTATGCGCAGTGTCGCTCTATCTTCATGTACGTATACGTGTGTATGTATGTCTGTTTATGTGTACGTATGGTATGAGCCACGTGTTTCACATGTACATATGAGAACAGGTGAGAGTTTTCATGACGTTTTTCCCATTTCCATCTTCTTTTGGCTTCTTCTTTTTTTATTTTTTAATAATCGTCCTTTCATGTCGACGAAATCCTGTTTGTACCTCGAAGAAACTCGTTCGTTCTCCGTGGTTTACTTTCAATTTCTTTTCTTCCTTTTATTCGTTCGTTTCTTGCTATTTTCTTTTTTTCTTTCAAGTAGAATAATGGAGTCGTTCTGATGTAATCACTCAGCTTTTTGTATGCTATCAGTCTTCTCGAGTGATGATCGGTGACGATGATCGCGGTGAAGGGGTGAACTCGCTTGCTATGGGTGATTTTACGATCGATCGCACGGATATTGAACTCGATTGACTCGATTCAATTTTTATAACAATTTCTATTTTTTTTTTTTTTTCATTTTTATACTGTGGAAAAATTTTGGTCGAATCATTTTGGTACATGGAATTGGTAACAACCCCTTAGACGTTACATATTTATTCATGGATATACGATTGCAAAGATTTAATTGATTATAATTATAGATTTCTTAATGAACATTTTAATATTAAAATTTCACAAATATTTCCTTCGAACTGGTGTATAAGATCGAGTTCAATTCGCGTGTCGTTGGTACAGACAGCTCCTTAGGCCGGCGACAAAATGTGTAAAAATCTGTTTAAAAATCGTTAGTAAAACGCGACATAGTGTTTTAAAAAAGTCGTTCGGACGCGTTCATACATTTTCGAGGCTGAATCTCGACGAAATTCATTCATTTTAATAAAAAAAAAAAAATACCCAGATCGATGAATCCTTTCGCAACTAAACAGTGACAATCTATTACAAAAGATAAAATTATAATTAAAACACGAAAGGATTAATCGATCCTCTATGAAATCCCTTTTAATTACGTTCGATTCAGGCGATGCCTTACAATAATTATTCGAAAAGTAAAAAATAAAATGGAGATCGACGATAAATTCGAATAGCCCGACTTAAAACACGTAGAATTTTAATTACATAATTACCAATCATCGTCTGGAGAAAGAAATAATATACAATAATACATAATAAGTTGATAGAAAAGGATAAAAAAAACAATAAGCTCGTTAATGAAGGTACATACAAATCGTAACGCAATTGTATTGCATCGAAATAGCTGCCAACGATTGTCTCCTGATTACTTTCAAATAAAAGAAAAAAAGGAATAAAATTGCAAAGGTCCCTGAAGAAAGAACAAACAAGACGCTTGAAATACGCTTCGCTTGATCGAACGAGCCTCGTGAAACGACGACAAAAGCTCAACCTACGATCAATTTGTATAAAAGTGATTGTTTATACTCCTATACAGGGTGTCTTTCTAAGAAAAATAAATGAAATAATATAGAATAACATTTTTTATATTACTCAAATTTTTCCTGTTTGCTATTGATGAACCCCCAGGGAATTCAACGCGTTAAAAGAGTCAAGATAATAATTAAATGGGGTGCGAAATGTACCCATACCTAACAAAGTTACAAATCCAGCTTCCTCTCAAATAAAAGGTAGCATGTAACAAAAATTTCATCATTTATTTTTAATATAAAATCAACACCTTTTCGCTATACGTATAATAGACAGACACCCTGTATATAGTAACAGGTGAATCAAAAAGGGGGATGAAGTTACCCTTTGTAAACGTTCACGAGGCATACTTTTCAGGATACGAGTCCGTTGCACGACTGTGCCGAGGAAATCGGATTTACCCGAAGGATTAATCGATCAGAGCGTGACTCGATTAATTAACGATTCTATCAGAGAATGTTAGAACATCGAGACGATTGTTCCTCTTCTTTTTTGCATAGCTGTTCGAGTTTGATATACCGTTAAAGAACAATAAGGGAACGTTTTCCCTCTTTGCGACAAAGCCAACAGAAGATACCTCGGACAACATCGATGAATATTTATGAATATTAAAGATCGAGTCGATGTGTCGACGTTAAGGTATTCCTTTCTCTTAAGAAACAAAGATAAAATTCATATTTCCTCGGCACAGCGCGACAGAACGTTTTCTCCTTCGATCTGTACGAAATAGAAATTTCATTGTCGCTGGTCAGCCTCCGGGATTAATTACTTTCTACAAAATCCTTCGTCGCGTCTCCCTCCACCGATTCCTCTTTTGTCCTCCTTAATCCTCGTAGAAAATTAGAAACGTTGTCACATGGAAACGATATAAAGCGGATATCAAAACGTCGATTCGTTCCTGTCGATCCTACAACGATCTAGGAACACGAGGATACTCATTTTTTATTTCTTTTTGCACGATTAAGAATCTCGACTCGTGTCTCGATATTTCGAATCCTTGCTCCCAAAATCAATGAATCTTTCAATACTTCACCGTGCTATCGTAAATTCGATCGCAAGAAGAATCTCAATTACGAAATTTTAGAAATGATGCGAAGAAAATGTCGCATCGAAAATTGTTCGATACGTAACACGAGTCGAGAAGAGCGTGTATTTAACTCGCTGAGCCGTGCGTGTCACATCGAGCGGAATGGTCCAAAGTTCTCTCTAAAGAGGATTCTGCGTAGCAGTCTCGAACAATAAGCTCGAAGGATGTCTCTCGATTCGAGGAGAGACTCGGTTACGTTGCTTGCTTTCCCGCTGAAATTCGTCGCGACATTGTAATCAGAGTACCATGGGATAAAAATCGATATCACTGGTGTATGAATTCGAACGTGAAGATATGTCTTCGATACAAGATTGAAACATCGTTATAACATTATTTCTAATTCGTAAAAACTTGCAAATTTCAACAGTACGTACTATTTAAAACTATTCAGTTTATACCTCCTTGAAAGTTTATGTTGTTTCATCCCATACGTACACTGTTACAATATCAATAACAAACGTTACGTCGTCTTACAATAGAAACGATCGCACTGATACACATGGCAGAGTAACGACGACACACGTTTCGAGTGGCATATCAACGATCCTTACGATCATCTTCATTCAATAAATTCATTACTTCACGACGGTTTAATATCGATCTCGTCGCTCGTTCGACGATGAACGACGACCTAATCGTGTCGCCTCGATAGAAGAGATGAATATGTACAAAACTAGGCTGGACAGCTACGAAGATGAGAGAAATCGAAGGAGATATCCTTCTGATGAACATTTGGACCGGTTGAACGAGACGATCGACGAGATTGATCCATTTTACCTTGATCCTGACATGCATACCACCGAACGTTGACATATACACTACCGGTCAAAAATTTTAAACCATTGCCTTTTAACATTTAAGAATTATGTTTGAAGAAATTTTCATAAATAGAAGTATTCGGTTTCCTAATTTATCCGACAAATATAATAGTTGTGATTAGCCTCAAATTTTTGACCGATGTACACAAGATGCCTCAAAAAAAGTTAAACAACACGGAAACAGATTCTCCGTGTCAAAATGAACCGATAAGTTCTTTACCGTTTTTCGATCTGCAGCCTCGTTTTCGAGATACACGCGGTTAAAGATTGCACTTCCGGGGTGCCGTTGAGGAACCGGAAGTCGAAGATTCGATTCTTTAATCGCGTATATCTCGAGAACGGAGCAGTATATTGCAAAACGGTAAAGAACTTTTTGATTCGTTTTGATACAGGGAATCTTTTGAGACACACCGTATGTATGTATATAACATTCAATGAATCAAAAGAAGATACGCGCGCTATAACGTGTTGCTGTTATACTTTCACGTGGCTAAATCACTTGCACACTCGATTCAACTGTCGTAATAATATTATTTTAAGAAATAGAACAAGGATATATTTATTTGTATATATATAATATATATGTATATATATCTATATATATATAATATGTATATCGGCTATCAATAATGTCATATCTCTGTCAAACATTCGATAATAACATTGAAACATCACATTCTCTGTCTCTTTCATTCTTTTCACATATTTTCTTTTTTGTTTTACTTGGTCTCGCGCGATATATCACTCTACAATATACGAAGAAGAATACGTAAGAATCGTAATAATTTGCGAGGAATCACCATGTGATCCTCCCATTATACATCTGTTCATCATTTATCGTTAATCTTTACGTTTTTCTTTCGCTCGAGAACAAGAGAACAGAGACTTATAGACGCAATACGTGCTTCTTTCGTGAGTGGACAGTTTCACGGGCAAGCAGACGAATGAAATCATTCACAAATCAAACATACAAACGCGTGAACACATACAACCGCTCTTTCTTTCTCTCCCTCTCTCTCTCTTTTCCTGTCTTTCTTTCATTCGTCAAACGATTTGAGAACCGGAAGAAACGAATTGCAGCTCGCTAATGTTCGGCATCCTCGTAATATGCCACACCCACAGCCTCAGAAGTTTACATAATACAATAATGTAGTAATCGATACGCGTACGCGTGTGTATATAATGTGTGTCTCTATAATATATTTATATATTCATTCACTTATACCGTCCTGTATTTATAGCCACGATGCGAGCACCGTGTTTCTACGGGATGCTTTCAATCTGGTGGCATAATCAAAAGGGAGATGATTTTACATCGAAAAGTAAATCGATAATGTAGAATAACATTTTCTCGTAGAATGGTTTGTTTCTGAATAAATCAAAGTTGAAAATTTATCGAAATTTTCAGTAATGAAGCTTCATACGAAAAAATACCGCTCTATATTTTCTACTTACTCTTTCATATAGATTTCTAATTGTTCCACCAGATCAGAGACACCCTGTATAATCAATAATTATATTATTATTAATAATACCGTCTACTTATTCTTAGTAGTACTTCTGCGGCCATCGATAGCGCCGCCTTAAATCATACATACACATATGTATGTATCCATATATATATATAGTATGTATACATATATTAATTTAGAATTGTGCAATGAAGGTTTAGAGCCATTAGTGCGACTACTGCTGCGGATGTGGTTGGACAAGTCGCTTTCCACCTACTTTACACCGAAAGAAACGTGGGGTGCGGAGTGCAATGCTTTTCTTTTAGATTTCTCCGGATAGATCCAAGTTCAAGGAAGTCCTCTCAGCTCTATACACCTCTATACCCTTCTTGTCCTCAGTCTTCCGTTTCCCTCTGTTCGATCATCACTATCCCTCCTCTCTTCAACATCAATGCCCTATCCAGTCTTCTATCTTGAAAATTCAACACCTTTCGAACACCGAGTCCTCCTATGTCTACCGTAAGTCTAGACCTCAGGAGACACCATCCGGCTGGACCACCCTGTTACGTTCAGAAATCATTAACGTGAACCTCAATCTTGCAGACAGCAAATTATCCAAGTGCTGTTGGCGACACGAGACTAGACTCAAGGGACACCATATCTTGTTGTACCCATGGATTAACCGCATCTTCATCCTGAATGCCCTATCCGGTCTTCTACGCTGAACTCGGCGAAACTATGTTTTCAGGCACCGAGTTCCCGCGCATCAGAGTCCCAATTTGTCGCTGGCAACGCGAATCTAGGCTCAAGGTTAGGACACCAGCTTGCCGGGCTTCCAATGGACACTGTACACCCTGTTATACCCATGAATCACCGGCAGAGGCAGCCGTCGAGTTCGGTGGCACGTTCACCGTCGCGGTGCTAGCTGAACCATCCGGGACACCCACCACTCCATCGGCCACCCACTGGCCAGCCGTGGGTGCACCGGCCGCGACTCCTACTCCAGGAACCACCGGGCCCTGACCCTGGCCCTGGCCCACCCCCAGCTCATACTGCCGCTTCTTTTTCTTCTCCAAGTTAACTTGCGCGTAGAGCGGCTCACCGGGTTTCGGTTGCTGCAACACACACACAAGCCAACGGTTAATTAAAGCCCTGGCTGATTGCCGGGGGTGGATGTCGAGGGGAGGGGCGGGCTGCTGTGCTGCAGGGCGCAGGGAAATGGGCCCGGTTCCAACGATCCACCGAGGATCGAGGATGGTTAACCTGGTGCGGCCGGTGTGGTACACTTTTTCAAATCTTATCTCTTTCGTTTCAACGCTTCTGGGTATAATATTTGATCCAAAGAAAAATCAATGAATAATTTACACGTGAAAAACAATTGGTGCGAGTGCATACTGTCAGATACTCTTTTATTATGCTCGATTAATTTGGATATAAATAGATTATAAATAAGTTCGTGCAATAGTCAACGTGTCACTATAAACCATGCTTCGAGGTGCGTCTAGCTTTCTTTGTTTTCTTTTTATACGACAAAGGTTCCTTTCGTTAATGATTGTATAAGTGTATGTAGGTATAAAAACGAAAGCTTACATTTTAACAATTCCTCTCTTTCGGTGGTCACGATCAAACAAATCATTTTTTTCATTGAAAGAATCTACCACACGTGAAAAGACGATTCTACTTTTGTGCTTTACCCTGCTGATTCGAACCGATTGAATCCCTATGGATTTGACACGTTCCATTCAACATTCTATTACTCTTACTGTCCATAGAATAGACTCTGTTCACTTGGGATCAACGAGTCGAAATTAAATCTTCTAAGTGTACGTTCTGGTGCAACGTAGACTTCCCTTAATTAAAGGGAAAAATAGAGGGTGATACTTCTTCCCCTACATTTACCTTTAATTAAGAAAAAGTTTAAGTTCCACGAAACTGCACAAGTATAATACACTATGTATCTCTACCTGCTATCGCCAATTAGGCAGCGAACATCAGCCTTTCGAGTTTGTGCGTTTCCGTTGACCAAAGGTACAGTTTGTGTGTCAGTTGAACGAGTTGTGTTTAATGATTGAATTTTGAAAGACGGATCTCTGTTACGGTTGTCTGATGATTTATACAAATCACCTGTTCGGCTAGATGCGCTCCCTAATCGTAAAAAACGTCGAGTATAGTTTTTGGTCCGGTAATAGCTAATCTGTTATACAACGATGCAAGACACACTCTTCAACGCTAAGTGAACAATCTTCAAACTTCCACGTTTTTCGATCCAACGCGTTGACTGGTATAAATGTTTATGATCGTTGGTGCGAAAAGTTGTGTATCAGAAGGGTTGAAAGAGGAGAAAGTAAGAGTGGAAAATTGAATTGCAATGTCATACTGAGTATGTGCCAGTCAACGGGTTGAAGAATCTACCATTACATTTTCCTTCTATCTGAAGCCAAACTAAACAAAGAAGTCTTATTTAAGTAAAGTAAAGAGGATTGATCGACAAAGTTCCGTTTTCTGGCTATCTTAATCGTATAAAACACGTCGATTGATCAAGAAGATGTACATCGTCCAATTCAACAAAACATTATGCTCAAAACGATGTATATTTTCTTCGATAACGAGACGCGTTTCCACATTTGACTCTTGTTATAATATAGATATTATGTAAAAATGCTAGATACTTGATAAATTCCATGGACTGACGCGTGACCGCGTAATGAACTACAGGTTAATACTGTATTCTAGCGAATAATGATGTTCCACATAGGATGGAACATGTGTAGTTATAATTGGTACTCGTTAATTGACTTAGTTTATACATCTATGTTAAATGTTTGTTAACACGTTGACTACCATGAGAGGGTCACCACTGATTGGCACCATAAACTTAAGTCTAATTGAACGATTAAACGAAGAAGAAGAAAGGAAAGTTTTGAGCAGTAAATTGGAAATATTAGATCTTCATTAACACGTTGACTACCTTGTTCAAGCAACAGAAAGAACGTTTCAAAAACTACCGAAATTATAATACTAATTGAAAATTGCAATTTGAAGTATTAAATTAAAAAAATTAATATTTCTACTTTGATAGTCAACGTATTAATTATTATTATAATGTGACTTACTACGAGTATCCATTTTCACTGTGACAGTCAACGTGTTAAGCAACTACTCTCTCCCTCACTGTATCACAACTATGCATGGTGTGTTCACCTCTTGTCACTCAACTTCCTTTCAATATTTCATTCTCGTCGGATGCTTCCTTGAAATGTCACCATTTCGATCCAGATGCAAACAGATAAATATCATAGTAGTATAAATTTGTTACGTACTTCCATGCAGACACATGTACGATATACCTGGTCTAAACTTTCTCAGGCGTCTCACCAGTATACATATAAATATAAAAGTGTTAACAGAAAAATGAACTAGGAGAGAGCAACAAACAACTAAATTAATCTGTTCTACGTGGATAATCTTTCTCGTCTGTTGATACATTGAATCTAACACTCAGATTTGCTCTCTTTTGTTACATCAACCCTTTGCACTCGATCTTGTAACTATTGGTGCTTCCAGTCTATTGAATAATTAAATCTAGTTCATAGAAAAACATTAATGGCTATGTTTAAAATTATTATTTCAACCCTCAAAGGGTGCAGTCGGTTAAATTTAATTTTAGATATAATTTTAACCCGTACTCATTTAAAGCACCATTTCATTATGTCAGCGGCAGTGATGGCAAATGTCAAAGAAAGATGTACGATAAAGATTCACGTTTAGAGCCTTTGAAGAATCCACTTGTTATGTCTCTATAGTAAAAAAGAAATGTCGAGTGCAAAGAGTTAAGAAACGATGAAAGGAAGACTCGATTCGACTGGAACCTCGTGTATGGATGCTACCACAATGATCATTGATTTCGATCAACGAGACACTTGTTATTTCTCTCTTCTGAATGTCTCATTCGTTTCTGATTCTCGTTGATCGCTTGGAAACTAAATCCTGGTAACTGCGAATGAAACGAACTCGACGATGGAAATCGAAGCGTCGCGAGAGACGTACACTTTTCACCTGAATCATCAGGAACAAGGTACCCCATACGTAGTACCTACCCTCTATTCGGGACCTACGAAAGAACGCGTTCTCGAGCAACAGCGCCGTTAGTTGTTGTTACTTACTGGCTGATAGATAGTCGGTCGTCCAACGTTGTTCGAATTCATGTTCGCCCTTTGAATCGTTCGATCCTCGTATCTGGTGCTCCCTTGGCTCGCCATAGGTCGGTTCAGTGTGCTGCAATCATAGCTACAATTCAACGTGGGGGTCGAGACGTTCAGGAATATATTAAAAATCGGGACTCTGCTTAACTGAAGCTACTAAACTCAGTAAAAAATGAACGGGCAACGCATATACTTAAAGAGAGAAACGCAGAGTCCGGGAAAATATAAAAAGACTTGAAACGAATGTCTATAAAGAGTTCAGACAAAATGAAAGTATCGATACAAATTATAACTAAAAATCTTTGATCGTTGCTGGTCGAGCACAGTTTACCTATTCGCGTTATTGGGTGAATTAGGCCCTGAATTTCGTGCTGCCACCGTTTTCGTTACGAAATCTTGCTCCTTCCATCCGTGCTTTTTGTAAACGTCCCTCAGTTCTTGATGCTGCCACATCGTGAACAAAACTTGACCTAGAAGTTAACCGAAGGTCAATAAAGCATTAACCGATATTTTTTTTTTTCAGAGTACTTGAAGATTCCATGAGACATGGCCCTTGCCTGCGAATTTAAGAACACGAGGCGTGTACTTCTGACGTTGCCTGGTGATGTTCATCAATCTATCCACTCCACCAGCGTCCAACAGGGATCTCGAGAACTCGGCATTCTTCTTGATAACTTCGTTTAAAGTGGCAAGGACCGCGGCGATGGTATCATCGCTAGTACCCTGGTCGTGCTGGTTGTTTCCTGAAGGTAACTTCTGTATCAGGTCGCGCATCGCGTACTTTCCTATTAGCTCTTTGTTGCGTTGATCTATCGCGAGATTTCTGAGTGCTGTGGCCACTGCGCAGACCACACGATCCACCTGTGATTAAATTATAAAAGGAAACATTAAATAAAATGCGAAGCTATCTAGGTGTTAGAAATGAAATGAACTTCAAGATTCTAGTACCTCCATTCTCAGCAACTCTACCAGGATAGGAAGTCCCTTTTCTTTGCGCACTGCCGCACGAATCTCGATGCTAGGCTGCCAGTAACAAGCGGCAAGATTCTGAAGCGCTCCAGCGGCTGCCTCAAGGGTCTCTGGGTTCGAGCAAGTTTGCAGAAGTTTCAGATAGGACTGGACCACTTCTGGTTGCCAGAGTAGTTCCATGCCTCTGACAGGTTCTGTTCTGGGACTGGTGGTTCTCGACGCAGTGGTCTCCTTCTGAACTGGCTGACCATCCTTTTTCTTTTTGCTACCACCAAAGCAGCCCAAGTTCTCACCTATGGAACAGTAATTAGAAAGACTGAAGTTAGTCGAGGTGAAAGACTAAACTTTGGCTTGGTGAACATTGCACACGCTTGGCACATTCAAGGAAAATATCCTTAAAACAATCTTTTGCAGTCCAAGTGTATCTGCTTTGATAGTCTCTCATAGTTTTAGACAAACTTCAAGACATATTATGAAATTTAGAATTTTAAAGTTAAATTGAACTTAATACACATCATGGATAGACTGTAAAAGATTGAAAAAGCAATCTCACGATGGAATATTCGTACAAGATTGTTTCATTGTTATGAATTATGATCTGATTACACTACTTCTAGCTAAGAGCTAATCATACAACAATGCCTGAAACGCAGCATACAATATCCAGAGCAGAATTAATAGCATACATAAGATGCAAGCAAAAGGGTACACTTTCCAGGCATGAGAGATTCAATTATGCACTAATGAAATTAATCTTGATGCTTCAGCAGAAACGTACGTGTGTTCTGTACGTGTGGTCTCTATGGAATCACGAATGTACTTTGTTTTACTTAAACGTGACCTAAAGTGAAACGATGATGTCTACGGAATCAATATTGAAACAATGATTCTGAGGACGATGACGTGTTTCAAAGTTTCCATGAAACGATTTAAAAAATGACGATCGAAGCGTGACATGCACCGATAACTCGTATTCGTTTAAAGGAAAAAAAAAAAGGATAGAAAACGGTGTAAACTAAATTAGCGATGGTATTACAAGAATGTCTTACCTTGACATAAACTGTACGCTAAAAAGATTGAAACACATTTTAATCCATGCTAAAACTAGGAAGGATACAACTTGCTTTTTATCTTTTTTCTTTTGTTCTAAATTCAACGCGTTTTTCTTTTATAAAATAAAAATGTTTATCGTACAAGGAAAGAAACGACAGTATGGGCATCAAGGAGAACAGAAAAATCAATGTGTCAGTGTTTGTCAGTGTTTTGTACATTGTCGATTTTATCCATTGAACGTATAAGCTTAAACTTCAGACAAACGTAAGCACCGCAACGAATGGTCAGTATGCACGGGTGTGGAATTTGTTTTATAGATTCGGTACAGGTATACAGGGTCGTCTACTAGTCCTAATTACTACTTTGCACGTATCACAGATATATGAAACCTTTCATATAGATATATATATATACATATACTATAGAATACTGTTGCCAAGCGAATGTCAATTACATTTTATCCTTTCAGTCACGACTTTATCCTTGGCACTGTACAACCATTATTGACTAAATATCGATCCTACTGTTCGTAGAACCAATTTTCATCATGTTACAGTCCAACCTACTTTATGTAGAACAAGTAGCAACTCAGTTACGACCACCATAATTTAGCATCGCAATGCTGTTCGAGGAAAATACAAGATGTTACCAAAAGAGGGGTAATTAATGGTACCACTAATTTTGAAACACCCTGTATACGTCTCAATATTACAGCCACTCAAGGTTCGAATTGAGAAGTATTTCTAATTGAAGTCGACGGAGTTACAAACTTCCTTTCATATCTTATCACCGTCTCGGAGAAACGTGAACCGCTTATCATCTCAGCGCACACAAAATTCGGCTGCATGCGTGTCGTCACATGCCCACTGACTAGAAAACCCATGTTTACCATGACAAAGAGAGAAAGAGAAAAAAGGGAGGAAAAAGGGAACACTCTTCTCATTCTTGGAATGCAATGATCAGACACTTCCAAAAGCAAGCCCTCACCTTTGGCCGGTGCCGCTACCCTGTTCTGCACCGTCGATTGAATCGGATGCTTGTCATAATTCGGATCCTCCACTTCCTGGCAACGGTAGCTCAAGTTTCGTAGGATGCACACGCAATTCTCCACAATTTTGTTGCCGATGTTTGATTTCTCTATAGCGGATCGCACGACGTACAACAAGGCGTCGACCAGACCCTCACATTCGCGCAGCTTCTTCCTCGCGTACTCCCCGGCACTGGACACGTTCCTTAAGACCCCGGAAGCGTTTCTGAACACGGTCGACCAACAGGTCTCCCCGCTGGAAGAACTCGGGTCCCAGCCACTGTGCGGTATGATTATGTTGTTCACCACCATCGTTACACCGTCGTCGATGATGGATTTCTTGAGATCCTGCAAGAGTTGAAGTGTGAGAAAGATTGCTGTAACGGCAGCGCTATAATATTTGGGACAACGAGATACATCAGAGATAGAAGAGGTCATAGGCTTCGATAGGCGTTGCCTCGAATACTGTTATAGTTTTTATTTTCCTCCATTACGTATGCTGATCATAAGTGTAACCGTGTGACAGACGTTCATCGCTCACCTCGCAAGAGGACAGGTTCCACAGCACCCCAGTGACCAGCTCCTTCACGTCCGCATCAGACGTCCTGCGTAAAAGATTGATCAGTGCCGGCACTCCGCCAGCGTTCTTGATGGCCCTCTTGTTCTCGTCGTTCTGCCTTCCGTACGACAGATTCCTCAACGCACCACAAGCGTTCCTGTACACATCCGGATTATCGTGATCCAACAGTTGCACCAAAGGCGGTATGCCACCTAGACTTCGCGTCTTTTGTTTGTTAGGATCGTCCATGTAGCAGAGATGCTGCAGATACGCTGCTGCATTCGCCTTGATTATATTGTTCGGATTGCTGAGGAAGCCGATCACCTCGGATAGATTTGGATCCCTCCATCTCATGGACTTTTGATCGTCGTCCAGAGGGCTGGCCATACCGGGCACAACTGGATGCCGGGACTGTAACCGTTGAAGGTGTACCTCGTCCTCGAACATGCCCGGTGGAACTCCAGAGGTCAAGGGAACCGGATGGCCCTCGTCGTAGGCGGGTATGTCGCTAGGAACTGGCACTGGACCCACGCCGACGCCAGGGCCGTATCCGACGGGTCCGTAGGGGGACGGAGACACGTAACCGTAGGCCACTTTGTTCTCGTCTGGAAGATACATCAAAAGTGTTATAAAACCGGTCGCCATTGTAATTCACCGCGGGTACGCTCGACGAGACGTCTTCTTAGCGTTTCGGCGCGATATGCATAATTCACTCGCATTATCGTTTAGTGGAATATGGAAGTTAAACGACGATAAACGCCGGACGAGATGAAGCTTAGAACGAGAGCGACAGAGGAAAGATGAAGAGCGTACAGAATATAATGATAGAGGCAGAGAGAGAAAGAGAAAGAGTAAAGAGAGAGCGAGAGAGAGAGGAAGGCGTTAAATAAATTATTGATGTGACCCTACCATGAGGATGCTGAGAGGGTTCGCCAGAGTCATCCATATTCCAAGAGTTGCTGATTTGATCTAGAGGGGACACAAAATAACAAACGAACGTCAGGCATTGGGGATAATTAAAGTGAATTATGCTGTAGCCCGTGCGAAGACCGGACAAACAGCCGCGCGACCAGCTGCAACACGATACGCTAGAGTATCTCGTTACGGAGATGATCTAGGGTGAAGCTCTGTGACTCGTTCGAAAAATCGTACCAATCCAGGAATCTTCCTTGTGCCCGAAACACATTGAACGTACCATATTGATCTCCAGGACCTCCGGGACTAGGAGTGATACGATAATGATCTTGCAACGCGGGATTCAGACCTGGATCGATGTCGTTGTAACCGCCTTCCACGTATGGTGCCGCCTTGCGCAGGTATTCTTGTGACACAAAAAAAAAAGAACAATGTTATCCTGATCCCGAATCGCTATTCTTTTACCGTCTTTCGCGTAATAAACGTCCACGATATGTAGATGTACATGCGATGGATAAAAATAACTTACCATGCGGCGGTGATGCACGACTGTGCTCCGAAGGACTGTGAGGACTGTGAGGAGAATGCGAGCGTGGCATGTAGATACCGTGAGGACCCGGGTAACCAGGCTGCGGCGGATAGCCAAGATATGGCTCGTAATGCTCGAAACCGACCATATAGGAGTCGGTCGGATACCGTGGATCCGCATGCTGGTAATCCTGAGACATCAACGGCACCGACATGTAGCTCACCGCCCCTGGATCCGGCTCCATGTGGGAAACCTCGCGGACCACCTTCGACACGTTCGTTACCTGACGACCATGGGGTACAGGTGAATTTTAAAAAACATTAAGAATAATTTATTCCCTACAAATACAAGGATATGTAAGAAAATGAGACGAAGGGATGGTAGTCGAGGAAGGGTGGTTCATCGTCATTCTAAAACAATTTTTCTCAACTCTAGTCATTTGTATGCGTTAACAATCTCAAAGTTTAATCTATGAAATAAGAAGAAAATCATTGAGTGGAAAATTGAAAAAGGGATTCTCACTTGTTGAGTGGTTTGTTGCTTATGGCTCCGTATGAGTAATGGATCCTCCTGGACAGACAAATGGGACGAATGCAACGAATGGGTGTCCGCCTGGCCGTTACTTCCGTGGTAATCTGCATCACTCTGTCCGCTGCAAAACGTCCACGAAATAATGATCAATTAAGGGAGGAAAGCTTTCCAACTATCGGTGATTTTTCATTTGTTCGATGGCTTACGTGTATTGCGGCATGTCGGGGCCCTTCTCCTGGAGAACGCGTCTGGAAAAATACAATTGGAAAAATCACTATCCATCCGGTGATATTAAATAATTCTCGCTGAATTAAATACCACAGAAACGAACCAAGAAAAAAAAAATCTTTTAAGACGACGGTGAAAATGATGAACGAAGAATGAAACCCTTTGCGCTTCGATGTTTTACAGAATGGAATTTTTCAGCATCAACACTTTAAATTGCCAATTTCGAGCGCAATGGGTTAAAGGAAAAGTTGCCAAGTAGAAAGACACACGCACCAACCGAAACGGACAACTTCAATTGCAAATAAAGCAAAGAAAAAGTCAAGCAGACAGGTCCGAGAGAACGAAACAGAACGTTCATAAGTGTTTCTAATTACGCTAAACTACTCATCACTTTCAGGCACGCTAAATACGATCGTTAGACACACACGTTGGTTAGTACGACTGAAGTTATTCATTCTGACTGTCATGTGTACGTTTCAGGAAGGAAAATCGATGAAAACGGAGCAAACATCTTCTTCGATCGAATACAGGAATCTATTAGAATTTTCCATAAACAAACACAGTTCAGAATCGTTCAGAATCTGCTTATAATATTAATTCGCTTATTAAAATTAATACCGTTCGATCGAAGAATGATTGGAAACTCGCTCGAAGGTTCCCGATAATATTGATGGATAAATGATTAAACAATGAAAACGATTGCGATAAATAGTACACTCACGTTCAGAATGACTAACCTCTGTTGGCTTGATTAAGTCATGTTAGTCACCTCTGCGTGATCTCAGTGCGCGTTATGCTGTGCTCTTGTCTCTGCTCGATCCGACGATTCACCAGGCTGACATTAACAATTTCCCAGACAATTAATTAGAATTTCACTCGTCGGTCAACGTTTCAACGTTTCAACGTTCTTCCTAAACGATGTCTCGAGCTAAATTAGCGATGGGTTCCCACACTTGTTCCACATGGATACATTTTACATTCAAACTATTCGCACTCGTATGTCCATTTTGATCAAAGTGAAAGGTTACACTTTGTTCAAAATAATTTGAAAAAATATATGAACAAAAGAGCTAAATTATGGTACTATTACGTGGAAGGAGGGTCGTTTGAAAACGTAAAATATTTTTCTGTGAAAACTTCTCTGTCGTATTAATTATCGATATTTCTACTGATGCTCGTTACGAATCGATCCCATCGCTAAATTAAACGTTGTAACTGTCTTTTTCATCGTTTGATCCACGTAAATATCCCATTATTAAATACAGTGTGGCAGTGAATTAGAGAGAAAGAAGTTGAAGTTTATATCTCTGGTACGTAGCCAATGTGTAAAGAGGGTGGTTGCCAATTAGAGAAGAAGCAGACTTGGAATTTCAAAAAAGTAAAGAGAGAAAATAGGAGAATTCTTATTAATTGGTCAGTCGAGAGTTCGAGGAGAGAAAGACACTTACAGACAGGAGTCAACCAGCTGATTATTTGACATACCAGCTGATTTTTCGTCTCTTGCCGCTCAGCAGTCGGTGACGTCCCCTGAAAATCATACGGGAAATATATTAGTCAGTGAAATAGAATTTTTTTAAATATCTGATACCGTGCGACACTCGGCGAGGCACGGAGGTGCATTCAAAGGGTGCAGAATTGGAACGTTTAGAGAGGTGCGGAGAAACAGGGTAAAATTCTTGAAATATCAGCGGTTGAACCCTCGTTAAACGTTAATTTCATTGCGAGCGAACAGCCGTGTGACCTCTTTGATCATCCCTCCTGCCTGTTGGTCGTTCTTTTTTCAATCTAAGTCGTTAATTGATTTTATCACTTTCGCATAGGCCAGGTGGTTAACCGTGGCAAAGCGTATCGCGTGTAATCACAGCATTAAAAGTAAGAGAGAAAAAGGGATGAGAAGGGTTTAATTGATTTGTCGCCTCGTCGCTCTTTTTATCGCCCGTTTCGATTACCCCTCCCTTCGATCCTCGAACACGTACGCGAACGGAGGACGGAGGGAAGTTTGCTAACGAATTCACCTAACGCAACTACGATACCAGAATTTTGTCGGGATCGAGCCTCCTGAAAGGATCCCCGCCTTGTTCGGCCGTAGTTCCCACAGGCTGAATTCTATCCACCTAACGAACTTCGTTTCCACTTATTGTCTCCCCGGTTGCCCTTTTTCCAAGCGAGATAATCGTCATGCCAGATAGAGAAGCATTCGATACGAACAACGTGTATCGAAGGTGAAAAAAATCTACAGATAAAGCTTAGGATAGTTAATTTCTATTATAAATTAACAACTAAAGATAAGCTTCGATAGTGAAATAATTAGATATTTTGGTAGGGTGATCTAGATCCTCTAGCTTTTCTAAAAGTGTCGAATGTTTCATTTGAATACTGTTGAAACAACCGCGCTCGATCGCTAGTTTTTCGAGTAATAATTATGTTAAGATCGATTAGGAACACCTGTACCGGTGACATCGATTTCTTTTCTTCGAACAAGCTGAATAATCCAGGTCGAAAGAAATTCCCTTGTCCCTTTTACCATCCGTTCTTAGGAAAGAAGGCGTGCTCTACGGATTCTCACGTTATTTGCCGTAGTCATCAATTTCTCTTTTTCTTTTTCTTTTTTTTTTTTTTTATTCCACTGAATTCGACCACGCGCCCTTAATAATTCCGTCAAGAATCTGGAGCTCGAAGCTTTCCGCTGTGACTCGCGTTTGTTCGAGATAAACGAAGAAGATGAATTGAAACGTACATCTCGAGCAAGGTAAAAGTAGATCGCCCGTAGTGAAGGTTGATTTGATTGGGTAAAGGGTTATTCACCTTTTCCTTGAGGATCGTGTATACAGGACGTCTCAAAAGTAGGTGTAAAATTTAGAAAATGAAAATAATATGAAATAAAGAATTAAGTTAGAATTGTGGCTCTCTCCATGATCCGCCATCCGATGTTAATATTTCTTATATTATTACAAAAAGGGTCCATGTACACGTTGCCCTATTATTAACGATAAGATTTGCAATCCAAGGATATGTTAGAAAATCCCCTAAACGACCCTAATTGCACTGCCAACCGGATGTTGGCCGATTTTACAGGATGGACCCCCAAGTGGCACACAAGGATTCCTGGTTCTACGGAACAAGAGGACTTTTCCGAGCCAGGAAAATCATTCCTGTTTGGCCTGCCCTATTAGTCGCATCGCGACTCAAATACAATACGTTTGAGATTATCCGGACCGAGTTTTATTTAGATCCTGCCTCATTAAAACCGCACCTTTGACTCTTCTTACAGGTATGAACAAAAGCCAGAAGGGAGAGGTAAGGCATTCCAGAGCACGCGTTTAACATGCTTGCTTTGAATACGTCATTTTCAGCGAGCAATGGAGGGAATCTTCCATAAAAGACATTCCGCGAACACTGCTGCGAGAAACGATGAAAAAAAAAAAATAATAAATTCACCTACGATTAACCTCGTCTGCATGCCACCTGGAATTTTTCTTCCTCCGGGCAAAAGAAAGATATTAAATATCTTTGATGCATAGCGAAGCCCTAACGATGACCATAATCACCATAGGTAATTGTTAGACTTCGTATACGAGTAAAGTTTTCCCAGCCGCTCGCGCCATTGGAAAAGTCGGAAAATATGGGACAACGTCGCCGGAGGGCCTGTCCCGTAACACTGTCTGGCGTATTAGATTCTTTTTTCACGTCAGGACGAATTCATAAGCGGGCCTAGAGGCCTTTAGGAGCGAGACCGGGACGAATACCCCGACGGCGACGCTGCTTCGTCGCTCTACAATCGCGGGGCTGATTTCTCTCGAGCAGAAATAGGCGAGCTGATAGTTTGTGTCAGTATTCCTAGCTTTGAGGCTGGAAAACCATGGAAAATAGGAAAATGGGAAGAGAATCTTACCATCGATCTTACGGTAATTATTACATTTCAAAATTAATGTATATACTGGTAGAATACTTTGATGATCTTCGATAACGCTTGGAACGCAAAATGTACCCGGTGCAAAGGTTTCAATGGGGCTGCAGACTGGCGCGTTCCCATGTAAGATTAAGCGAGAACTAATTAAGGTCGTGGTCACTGTAGTAACGCGAAGCTCGCAGTGAACCAAATTAATGTCCACGTACACGCTTGGAAATCCTCTTTTCGCAATTGGAAGTGTAAAATTGCTGTTCCGACGAAACAGCTCCTTGGATGATTACAAAAACAATCAACTCGTACTTTGACAGAATAAAGTACACGAAAAGGATCATGCTAGATATCCGCTGGAAATCTGGCTAACGAATCATCGATTCCGCATAACCAAACGAGTACTCGTCGCGGAAGTAACACGTTTAACGAGACTGATCCTCTTTACCGCGGGATCTCGTTTTAATTGGCTCGTTTTTCGTTGTGCGGCAAACAGGGATGATATCGCGATGGTAATTAACGGATCTGCTGGCTGTTTCGTCGCGGTTTTAGGCGTCGACTACCTTTTTTTTTCTTAATATTCTACAGGAAGTCGTACGTTTTAGCTACGGTGAAATATAGTACTTATTACAGTAAATTACAGTAATGTTCTTATTTAATCCTTGCACCAGCCAACGTGATTTCGAGGTTGAATTTACATTCGAAATCCGTCGAACGATTCTGAATTAGAAGAACGTGGACGACGACGGTTCGAGTTGTCCGATAAAAAGAACCGAAGCATCGTCGTTGGGTGACACACTTATCGATACACTCGAGGCGAGACTAAACAACGCTTAGCTCGATAACGGAGCTGAATTTATCCATAGAGTACACAAAACCGCGTTTGATTCGGAGTGGCTTGCTTGTTTGAGGAGGAATGTTTTGTCGAGTACTTACTCCAGGAAAAGAAAGTCTATAATTTTAATTATTCTTTGGAAAGTTTCGTAACTGCTTTGAATGCAATTTCTAACCCTCTTAAATATCGCGATCGTTACCTCTTTAAATGTCAAGGTAGCCCTCTAAATATACCGACAGTATCTCTACGTTTATCTTATTGTTAGTCCCACCCCCGTGACTAAACCTGTATCGCAAACACGGATAACGTTTGTTTGGACACGGATTACGAGATAAAAGGTATTTATACAGATCTATACGTCCAGAGTTCGCGTTACACGAAATACATGTATCTACATATATATCAATGAAAGAAGAAACTACGTATCGAACGCGGTTGAAAACAGAACGGAAGCCGGCAGTAGGATTAAAGCGAGGGTCACTTGTGACATCGTTGATGGGCGATGGTAGTGGCCTTGGACGACCAATTGATTTTGCACAGGCTATACAAAAGTGGTCGAGTTGCACGAAACGCGACACGCTACGTTTCGTTCGCTCGGAATTTCATCCACGAGAAATCAACCCTGTTCGATAAGGAAAATATTTCAGGCCTGGAGAATAAAGTACGCGACTTGATCTGTAGGAGAAAAAGTTGCCAATGGACAGATTTATTGGAACCTCCGGTACTATTAGTATCCTTTAGATTGGATTTGCGGTGCTCGAAACGATCGAAACGATAAGAACGCTTTAAGCGCGTACAGCTTTTGCTCGTCGACCGAAAAAAGGGTTGAACGGTTACGTTTTCCCGATCACTCGAGAAATCAAAGAAACGTACGAACAAAGGGGTTGAAAGGAAAAAAATGGAATCGAGCAAGCGATCGATCGAAAGGAAGCATGCTGTAAGTAGGATCCCTCGTCTAGCTCTGTTCGAAGGAAGGGGGTAGATTGAGTTGGTGCTAGGCGATACCATCAATCAATCCCACGTCCCACAAACTATTTCTGGATCGATCGAGTAGCAGAAGCTTGTTTGGTTCGACGCGTTTCTCGATACTCTCTGGCCGCCGCGCCGGTTGTCGCGGTGTCGGCTCTCTTCGTGGTCCCCGGACCAGATAGGAACGTCTGGCATCCGGCGAACAGAATTTCCCGTCGCGGCGAACCAATCGTCGGACAGTAAGTTCGCCGATAAAGAAGAGCTTCTGAATCGTCCGAGCAGAAACGGGAACGTTTCGCGAGGTCGAACAATGAGAATCGGTGCCGTGACTAAGCGACCTTCGCAGCAAAACTCGATACGAGGGCAACCATTCACTACACCGGCTCGTACAATCATGCCAACCGGGGATTTAGGTAAATTTCCATTAATTGGATCGAACTGCTTTCCTCGATTAATCCTTTCTCCGCTTACGAGCGAGAAAAATGATTTTCCTATGAGCGCGAGTACTTACCGCCTCTATAATTGTCGCAATTTTTACCTGCTTAATTTTCCTCTTTAAATTCGACTATTTGCGGCAAACAGTGGAATAATGGAAGGAGAATTTGATGAAAATTCTTCATTTTCCGAAGACCAGTGTACATCTAACGGAATTGAATTGTGTAGAACGTGATTGATCTCTTTCTCGTTGACGTGACATGAAATTTCCTTCGAGCATCAGGAGTTAAATAAATGATCAGATATATAATAGGTTTCGAGCGTAATCGAATTTCCAAGGAAATCGTTTTTCCCTGGTATCGGTATCCGTAAACAATCCCAGGGGAGGGC